GAGGAGGAGGAGGAGGAGGAGAGAGAAAGAGAGAGAGAGAGGCCGGCACCTCTCCAGACTCACTTAATGACTTGGCGCTGTAGAAGGTCCGAGAGAAGAGAACCACCGTCACTTCGTGGCTACAGTTCTTCTCCTGTCAGGACAAAAGCAGATCAAAGCCCTGGGGAGCCACTCCTGACGGGCACCACAGAAACTGCCCCTCTGACACGCCCAGATGTTGCTCAGCGACCCCCCCACCCCCACCCCCCGTGGGAAGGACCTGGGAGGGGAGAAGAGGGAGGATTCATCGAATGCAGCTGGGGGAGGCCTTTTTAAGGTGTGTCCCCCCACCAAACTCACAGGAAGAACCAGCACAAGATTCTTCCTTCTGACCACAGCAAGGTGGGGGGGGGGGAATCTGAAGTGGCCCAAGAGAACCTTTCCTCTGCTGGGGAGTCGAGGGACAGGGGGCCGGAGGGGGGGGGATTCCTTCTCCTCCCCATTTCATTCCCCACTAAGCAAGCAAGGGGCTTCGCCGGAGTCCCCCGCCCCAACCCCTGTGCTCCCGGGAGCCCTCCCAGCTCGGCCTCTGAGCCTCCAGGGCTTGTCCTGAGGACGGCTGGCTTGGCAAAGGGCCACAAGGAGCCCCGCCCATTTTCAGGCTCCCTTGAGGCCAGCTAGAAGCTCTGCTTTGCTCCCACGGAGCTACCTTCCACTTGGTGAAAAGGTCAGCTAGGAAGCCGTTCACGGCCTTCTCGAAGTAAAGGTCTCCTGCAAAGGAAAGAGAACCGAGTGTGAGAGGGAAGGCTGGGCCGCCCCCTTTCTGCTCTTCACCCAGCCAGACCCTGCCTGGGACAGAGGCCCCAGGGCCAAGAGACAGGGGCATCGGTTCCTGCTCACTCCTGGCTCCCCATAAGCCCTCCTGGGGCTGCAGGCACACCCCTTTGAGGGGCAGCTTCCTTCGACTCCATCCGTCTTCCCAGGGGCGGGATTCAGCCAGAGTTACTACCCGTTCGGTGACTATGTTTTGCGCGTGCGTGTGTAAAATAAAAAACCTTAAGCTGTGCTGCCCCGAGAGCTGAAAAGCGCTGCATGCAGGTGCACAGCATTTGCGAAGCCTCTTTTTCCCTGCTTTTTTCAACCTCAGCTGTGCCGCGCAAAGCAGCTGAGGTTGAAAAAACAGGAAATAAAGGACAGGTAAGAGCTCAGGTGGGCCAAACAGCAGCAAACACAGAACCCGTTCGGTGTCTGCTGCTCTTCAGAGCTACCGGTTCTATAGAGCTGGGCAGAACCGGTAGCATCTCACCCCTGGTTCTGCCCGACCTCGGCCCTCCTTAGTGGCAGAGCCTGGCTGTGGATTCGCCTCTTTTGGGACTCCCGGCGGGGCTTCTCTCCCGGACCCTTCAGACTCAGGTTCTTCCAGCTGGCTTTGGGGGCCTTCTTGGAACCAGTTAGGCCCTCCTGTACCTTTTCACCCAAAGTGGGAGCTGCTCTCGCAGCCAGAGCCCTGAGCCTGACCGAAATGGGTCCTCTGGAGCCCAGAGGCTGAGTGTCCTGAAGAGGCCTCCAGGGATGGCATCTGTGGGCAAAACTGAGACCAGAGTCTGCCTGAACCTCTGGAAGGGGCTGGTTAATTATTCACCAAGAAAATAGCTTCCCGCCTTCCTTTGAGATTCCTTCATGCCATTTTTACAGCTTTATAATTTATGCTTGGGGTAGCCAAATTAAACTTATACCCATGGAGGTTCTAGTTCCTCGTTACTGTTGAAGTTGACAAAAAAGGGGAAACTCCAGCCTTCCTCCATCCAAGGAGAGGGAGGAATGCCTTCAGCTGGGGTAGATGAGTTGCCAAGCAAGCCGAGGCTCGACCAAGATGGGCGAGGACTGAGGGATCCTCACCGTAGATGTCGAAGTCCCACATTTCACAGCTCATCTGGATGAAGATGTAAACCATGGCGGAAGTCGAGCGGAACACCACCTGCAAGGCACCCAGAAGGGAAGGGGCTGAGCCTGGCCTCAAGGATTCCCTCTGAATCAGCGTGGCCAATCCTGGCTTCCTTCTGGGGTCGCTGAGGCGCTGGATTCAGACAGAACCTGGAAGCTACCTTGTGGGACTGCAGTGGCGGGGTTGCTACAAGAACATCAGCGCTCACAGCCGGGAGGACAACGTTCTTGCTTCAAATGCTTTCCATGCATAAGGTTTGCCCTAATGGCAGGTTAGTCTGAGAGAGCCAGCCGGCCGATTCCTCAGGAGCACGGAAAGGCAGCGACCCTTGCCTGGCAAGAGGGAGCTACGGCCACGGGAACTGAGGGGGCCCTTAGCCCCCTCCCTGCCCCCAGGCAACCCAGGGACCTCCTGCAGAAGGAACGCCGGGAAGCGGCTACTCCGGCTCTTAGCTGCAGGGGTTCTGAAGCTCCGTGCGGGAGAAATGCCAAGGAAACATCTCACGTCAAGAATCCTACCCGAGTATCCTCGCTGATGTAGCCACAGGTGACTTTCTCACTTTTGACCCACAGTTCACCTGCCTGAGCCCTGAAAACAAACCAAGAGAGAAGACTGAAAACACGGGGGAAAGCTCGCCGGGAAAGCTGGGAGGTGAGCAGTGGTAGAGCAGCCGGCCCGAAGGCAGATAAAGAAAAGCAAAGCAAGAGCGGAATTTAAAGTTTTCTCTCCCTCCAGGAGCAGATTTCCCCCACAAATCCAGAGCTTTCACGGGCTCCCGCTGCTTTTATCAAAAGGACAAAAATGCCATCATTGTGCCAGCTCCCCCGCCGCCCTTTTCCAACTTGCTTGGCGTTGTACGGGGGGTGGGGGGGGGGGCAGGGTTTGTATTGTGACAGGGTTGCTTTCATCAGCCTGAGGTACTTGCCCCCACTGCAGGAGCCCCTGCCCAAATGTATCTTCCTGAGATCGCCCGTCAAATTCATCAACCTGATTTGCCTACATGTTACCTTCGCTGATTATCGAAACCTCAACATGGTGCCTTTTAAATCTCCTTCTTTAAACAGAAAATAAATTCCAAAACTTCCATCCCCAAAGAGATTCTCAGCTGCCATTCATCCTGGCCTCCTTACTCAGTGATTACGGAGCTAAGATGCCAGGATGTTGGCAGGGCAAACCGGCTTCATCAGCTGGCTCTGTAGTCAACTGAAGATCCAAAGTGTGCCAGCCCCGGGCAAAACAAGCTCCAAGCACTTCTCCCCGAAGTCTAGACCAAGGAGGAAGAGCTGAGAATGGAGTAGGTGCCACCTCCCTCCTCTTGTGAGGTCTGGCATGAGAGCCTGTGCCTGTATTCTGGGAGGAAGCTTCACTGAAGTAAATGGGACTGGTTTAGGGTGTGAACTTCACTAAGAGAAAAGAGCTGGGAACGACAGAGAGTTCTTTGGGAATGGAAACAGCCAAACTCTGTCCTCCAAGATAAGACTTGATTATTTGGAGACAGGCTGTCAACTCATAAAATATTTCTATGGTCTTTTTAGCGTTGCCAACAGAAAGGGAGGGGGGAGCAGTGGGCAGGTTGCGTTCCATAAATGTTTTCAAAGATAGTAACTAGATGACTGAAGTTTCTGCCGTTCAAATATCTAACTGGAGAGCATGAAAGGCACAGCTGCTTACTCACCGAATACCCGCGTATTCAACTTTCTGAGTGATGTAAGCACACGTGCCAACCTGAGGTGACAAAGAAAGGAAAAAGAGAAGTGGAACAATTTGCACCCAAGAGAATTTGCACTTGCAGAAGGTAAACCATGTTTAAGAAGCAAGTCCATTTCTAGCCAGCATGACGTTTTCTAGTTGGGAAATATTCAGATCATTTTTGCTAAAGGCCAGAAGCCAGGGTTTCTGAGAGAAGGGGGTGTTTCCACTGGAGCCTGGCAGTCCCTTAACGACAACCCCCACTTCCCTGCCTTTGATCCCCACCATCTCAGTTCAATCCAAACTACTGGCCAACATCTCAGTCCTGCAGTACCCACCCGCCTGCCTCACACTTCAGTTTTACACGATCGTGTTGAAAGATGGAGGACTCAACATTGTTTCCCGAGTAGAGCTGCAAGCTCTGTTGGCCCTTCAAAGTAAAGCCAAGTCAAGAAACAGACCCCGGAGGGATTCCCAGAATACAGGTAACCTAGGCATATGGCCAACCGGATTTTACAGACTCCTTTGCATCGGTCATTAAATGAAAACTGTGATCCTTAAGCAAACCCACTGTTCCCAACAGCAATAGCAGTTAGACTTATATACCGCTTCACGGTGCTTTACCGCCCTCTCTAAGCGGTTTACAGAGTCAGCCTCTTGTTTCCCAATAATCTGGGTCCTCCTTTTACCCACCTGGGAAGGATGGGAGGCTGAGTCAACCTCAAGCCTGGTGAGATTTGAACTGCCAAATTGCAGGCAGTCGGCAGGCACCAGAAATAGCCTGCAGTACAGCACTCCATCCACTGCACCACTGATGGCATGGTTTAGTTGAAAATGAGAAATAACTTCCAATTTTCAGCAAAACTTGTAAAATGCAGTCATGCAATCACAGGACGCTACAAATGGCCGGGTCATAACTTGCCTTTTCCAGCTAAGTCACAATGGGGTGTATTAATTACATCTTGAAAAACTGTCCATAATCCTCACTGCCCCACTTTTAAGGACAAAGTGGGGCTGCTCTAGGTCTCTCTTTCTTTCTTTCTTTCTTTCTTTCTTTCTTTCTTTCTTTCTTTCTTTCTTTCTTTCTTTCTCACATTTTCTACTTTCCCAGTTCTAAGCAACTGTTCTTCTCTTTCCTTCCCAAGGCCAGAACTAAATGTCTCTACAGATGTCAACTGCTCAATTCCAAGTTGGAGGGGAACTATTAGATCATCCAGTCCTACCCTTACTTCATACAGAAATCCAGTTTAAAACGTTCGCAACAGATTTGATCCTCACCAAGCTTTTCTTAAGGCGCCACATATCCCCGCGTCCGATGTACTGGTCCTTGAATGTCAGCTCCACTAAATCCAGAGTCACATCCTAAAAAGGAACACAGGGGGACTATGATTTCTGCCTCCAACCATTCTGTTTCTGCCGATACGTCTGGATGCAGTTTTTCCAACCCTTCAAACTATCTGCATATTACTTCCCTCTCCAAAACATTTCAAGGCATAAACACCAACAGCACTCAATCATTTGCTAACTAAAACAGTTCTTTATCTATAACTGCAGGGTTTCGCAACCTTGCCAATGTTAAGATGCTTGGATGTCAACTCCCAGAATTCCTCAGCTAGCATGGCTGTCTGAGTAGTTCTGGGTTGATGTCCACACACCTTTAAAGTTGGCAAGGTTGGGAAATCCTGTATTACTGAGCACCAGAGGATTTTACCAATTTCATGAATTGAGCCCTCTTAACTTCTTGGCAATCTCCAGAAGAAAAAGCAGAGGCCGGTTGAATTGTGTGAACATATCTGCCATATAAGGCAAAATACCAAAGAAACAGGCAGGACTGACAGCTAGGCTGGGAAAGGAAATGCGTGTCTGTGGTGGCATTTGACTTACAGCCCAGACTCGGCTACTCTTAAAACCACTGTGCGCATCAGAAGGTTCTGCAGGTGTCAAGCACCAGAGAAATCAGGAGAACCAAGCAGTTCAAATGTGTATAAAGGTTTATTGCAAGCTTAAGTTCTCTACAAGAACCTGAATTACTAACAACCAAGCAGAATTAGTGGGAGCTAAGAATAGAAGGAATTCAAGGTGAGCTGGACTTAGATCTCTGGTGGGAGCGTAGGAAGTCAGCCTCCCTCGGGCTCAGCCTGGTCATCTCCTACAGCAGGAAGACTATCCAAGCATCTTTAGCGAAAGCTGAAGGGCAGCAGAAGCTCACCTACCTTGGGGTCAACAACGTTGACGTGGACATCCTGGTAGGGCCTCAGTCGAAACACCTGAGCAACAGTCTGATCAACACTGATGGTTTCTGTGCAAAGAGAGAAAGTTGGGAGAATTGGAGGAGGCCTTCTGTGGAATCAGTCCAGCGGTAACATCAGAGCTGTGTTTCTCAACCTTGGCAAGTTTAAGACGGGTAAACTTCGATTCCCAGAATTCCTCTCCTCAATTCCAGCCTGTCCAATTCTGGGAGTTCCACACATCTTAAACTTGTTAGAGTTTAAGAATGAGTTTAAGATGAGAAAAATTGCTTCAGAGGAACTGACCACCTGCCTATCAGGGTATAAAGAGCTTGTCCAGCGACTAATGATTGACTTATGAGCAAGCAGCAGCCTGCAGAAAAACAGAATGAAAGGCAAGGAGTCACCACACAGCAACTGGTGAAATGTTTTCGGACTGGCAGTGCTGGCAGCAAACCAGATGCGACATCTCCCCAACTGCCTTGCAACAGGATCTAAATTATTCCCAGAGTGACAAATGATGAAGAAACCCTGGCTTCTGACCCTGACCTGGAAGGATGATGACAAGCCAGGAACCCATCATCCTATGAAGATGGCTTGAGAGCCAACCCCAGTGCAGGATGAAAAGGGCATAAATTACAACAGTTCCAGAAACAATCAACTATGCCTGCTGTTTGGGAAATGAAGTCTGACATAAATGTCATCATCTAAACTCTGCAGTGATCAGACCGGAGGTTCTTCCGTGCAGAACTATGCAAATTCCCACCTGGCTTGAATTACGAGAAGGCTAACCTTTCAAAAGCCAGGGATCTCCAACCTTGGCAACTTTAAGACTCGTGGACTTCAACTCCCAGAGTTCCTCAGCCAGCTTTGCTAGCTGAGGAACTCTGGGAGTTGAAGTCCACAAGTCTTAAAGTTGCCAAGGTTGGAGATCCTTGTTTCAAGCTATCCTCATCGATTGAGCCTTACGAGGCTCAAGTCTCACTGCAACTGATCAGGGATCACCTGTTGGAGCCCAGGCTGCTCTTGGGACTCATTATGACACCTGCTCCAGGACTGGGAAGGGGGAAAAAAACCAAAACTCCTGATTTCTTTCAGATCTCCCAAAACCAGATCTTAGCAAATATTATATTCTGCACCACTGGTGTCCAAACTTTTGGCTTACCTGAGTGAAGTGCAGCTGTCTTGGGCCGCATATAAAATATATAATGTGTACGTCACATAACAATGTTAAAAGTTTATGATCTTACTAGCTGTTCATGGCCACATGCAGCCCAGAGACTGCGGATTAGATATCCCTAATCTAGACCCTTAGAACTGGATTATATCTTTGGCTGCCTCTGCTCTTTCCTGCTAAGAGATTCTTTCAAGTGCTCTTGAGGGAACCTTTTTTGTGAATTAGGGAACTTAATTCCAACCGACAAATTTGTGCAAACTGCCTAAGGACCAATCTCGGTTTTGAGCTTATGGCAGGGACCAGCTCTTCTCTTTGCTTGTGAGCAATCCTCTACACGCAGCCTTGGAAGATCCTAGCTGGGCCTGAGCTAGTCCCATCTAATCTATGTCACCAGTAGGGTCAGCACTGTGTGTGGAAATGGAGAAGGCAAGGGCACATGCTTTATTTTGAGCTCCTGCAGAAAAGGGGGAATAGAAATCAAATGAACATCATAGTAAATTGCTCTCTCTGGTTAGTGAGTTATTGACTGTTGATTAACAAGAACTAGCGGTTGCCAGGGCATCCTGGCAGTTTTCAAAACAGAGAGAAAAACCCCACCTTTCTGTAAGTCTTCCTTGAGCGACTTCACTTGCAGGAGGAGAGGACTGGAAAGCAAGAGCGACAATCAGGGAGAGGATCTCTCGACAGCAACCAAAAAGCATTTCAGCCAAGAAGAGCCTCAAGAATTTCAAATTTCTCATGCTTCTAGCCAAGTAAAACTCCCAAAGTAGTCCTACCGGTCACCATTTAAAAACATTTTGTTTCCCGCAAGCTTTATGTTTTTGGTTTCTACAAGTTTGCTTATAGATATATTATTACACACTGATGTTTTCTTTACCACCAAGTACCCCAAATGGAAGCAGGCAACATCCGCCTTTTGAAACAAACCAATAGTAACAAGGTCTTCTCCACCTGACTGGCTCTCCCTGACTTCCCAACCGCTTCCACTTTTCCCCAACTAAAGCAAAAATACCAGTTCAGCTTGTGATGCTGAGGCCTTTTTTATCTCCCCATAGACTGCCCCCGCCCCCCGGCCCATCATGCATTATGTCCCCAAAGCAGATCCATCCACAAGGAGAGTCACCTGTATTCATCATTGGGGTGTGCTATTTCCACTATATCTCCCAACTTGATCTGAAGAAATACTTTAGGGTTCACCATAAGTTCATCATCTGAAAAGGAAACAAGTTGGAAAAGAACCCTTGTAGAGGTTTGTAGCCGAGAGCAACTTTCATAGCAGTTCCCAAGTTATCCTCAATGCCACTAAAGCTGAGAAACCGGAGATGGAATGAGTCCCAGGGTGAGCGAAATACTCTGAAAACCTAGAGGGTGTCAACCATGTCCCAGTCATCTAGCAAAGAAAGACTCCTGGCCATTTGTTTTTGCCAATAACATACTTTACTAAAGCTTAGGGTGGTTTTTTCTGAGGTTTTTCCCTGTGCAAACAATACAAAGTAAATTTTCCTTTCCCCTCCATCCTGCCCCACACATCCTGCCATCCCTGGTTATTTGCAAATGTCCAATCAGGTGCTTGTTCAGGAAACAGGTTCTCAGTTCCCAGCTCTGCATATAGTTAGTTGACCTTGGCTGGCTGAAGCTTTTCACAAGGCTCAGCTGGGCTACCATTCCATCCATTCGTCCCTTCTTCCTTAGTTCTATCTTTCCCTCTTCCCCCACCTCACACCTTGCTAAAGTCAAGCTGTCAGCTCATGAAGCTTAACGTAGGAGAGAGGCAGCCATGACAGTGTTTTTAAATTGAGAAAGCATCCCAACTGAGAATAGGGGCGTTCACTTCAAATCCGAACCTCATCCTAAGAATAAACTAAGCCGGCATATGTCTTAGCCTCCCTGCATAGGCTGGAATACATTATAAAGTTGCTTGTTATAAACATGAGATTAACATCTTAAGCAACCTTATTAGGGATAACATCCCACACTGAACAGACTGCAACTTCTTTCCAAATAAAAATGTGCTACTTTAAACAGCTGCTTTACAAGCGTTATCATTAAGTTGGGAACCTCAAATTTGTCCTAAAAGGCCTTGTTGCAGTCCAGATATTGCAGAGCATGGAAGATTCTGCACCCAAGGGCAAAAGGTTTATTAGTGTTTTCCTACACCTTCAGGGCACCCCAAGGCCCAGCCACTTCCAACGAGGCTACTAACCGCTGCTTCCGAAGCCTTTTTTATGTATGACAAGCTTGTAAACTTTGTTGGTTCTCATCTTGATTTCAAATTCTTGTTCTTCTTGATTATCAGAAATCAGGCATTAGACAACTTTCTACTTTCCGCAAAATAAAAGCAAGTAATACGTGAGAAGCTGTTCCTCTTCCATTGTATTCTGTGAGGAAGCCAAAGCAAAGCAAAATAAAATCACAGGTGCCAACAGCTTTATATATTGTTTATTTCTGTATGGTCATACACTAAAAAAATAATTAAAATACAAAGCATTCAATATAAAAATCCTTTTCCTAACAGATATGCCTAATTGGATTTTGTTCTGATCAAATGGCTTGTTCTGATCAATTTCCACAAGCAGAAAATTTGATAATTTTGGGGGGAGAAACTTCATAATAGTGATGTTTTAGCTGCCCATTAGGACCAACTCAAAATTTTTACAGTTAAGAGGGGAGATTAGCTCAAACTTCCAACAGTGATCTTTCGGGCAATTCAACTGAACATGTGCATCTGGTTCAATTTCAATACCTGAACACATCCCAAATAATCTTGGCAGGGATATTACTGAATCTCAGGACAGGGCATCTACGTGGCCCAGTGTAAGGGGGGCACAAGAGGTGAGGAAAAGTTATTTGGGAGAGGTTTCTCCCACTCTCTCACCAAGGCAGAGGGAGGAGGCAACCCTCTGCACATCAAAGTCTAAGATCCTCTGCCTGATCTCAGTCTAGACTTTTATAAGGTTGCGTTCATAGACAGCACAGCCCGTTTTGGAAATCCACATTTGATTCCTTTTGGCCAGGCTGCAAAGAGCAATCTGTGGATAAAACAAGCTTATTTTGAAGCAAAAGGAAGTTTTTGCCCGCAGGATTCCCCTTTGCAGGGAAAAGGGTCACCTAAATGAGCTGTGGTGGCACAGTGGATGGAAAGCAGCATTGCAGATTATTTCTGCTGACTGCCAGCAGTTCGATCCTGACCGACTCAAGGTTGACTCAGTAAACCGGTTAGAGAGGGCTGGAAAGCACTGTTAAGCGGGATATAAGCCTTCGTTGCTCTTGCTCTTCCTTTCTGCCTGCCTGCCGTGGTTAGAGTGCAGGATTGTAGGCTAACTCTGCTGACTGCTGGTGGTTCGATCCTGACCTGCTCCAGGTTGACTCAGCCTTCCATCCTTCTGAGGACCCAGATTGTTGGGGGCCAGAGGCTGACTCTGTACACCGCTTAGAGGGGGCTGGAAAGCACTATAAAGCGGAATATAAGTCTGTCTGCTCTTCCTTTTCTCTTTCCTTCCTTTCTGGCCATTGCAACAGAGAAGGGAGGGAAGCACTGTGAATCTGTATATAAATCTAAGTGCTATTGCTAAATAATCCAGAGCTCTAACATCCCTCCAGCCACCTTCACAGGTTGGGGAGGCTCCTGAAGACCACCTAGCCCAGCCTTCAAGGGACTGGAGGTTGTGGCTCGCGTGTCCCTCCTCTTCCCTGGAAAAAGCCCTCCAGCTGCCTGTGGCCGGATCAAAAAGATGCGGGACCTCATGCTTTTATCTGGGTGGGGGTGGGCTGAAACTGAGCCCCCGAAGCGTCCCACGGGGTGCAAAAGGCGGACCCGGAATCGGGCTTGGCATCTGGGGGCCGGAGGGCCCACCTGCGCGGCTGCGTCCATCCTCCTCCTCGCTTCCCTATCCAGGATCGTCGTCGCCTCGGGGACCAAAGCCGGGGAGACAGACCTGCGGCCCCGCTTCTACCACGGGCAGCGGAGGGCGGACTCTGGAAGGCGCCGCTTTCTGCTCCTCCTTCGGGCCAAGAGCCCCGGGCAGCCAGCCTCGCTCTCCCCAGAAGAGGCCTCTCCCTGGGAGCAAGGAAGCCGCCACGCCAGGCGAGGCCTACAAGAAGCGCCTCGTCCCAGCCGCGCTCGCTTTCTACTCCCTCCGAGACGGCGGGGGGGGAGATCGCGGGTCCTGCCGCCGCCGCCGCCTCCACCTCCCCGCCTGGCTGCGGAGCGGGACGGGAGGCGCGGCGAGCCGCTTCCTCAGCAACTCACCCAGCGCGGCCTCCGCCTGGGGATCTTCCGGAAGTCCGCGGCCGGAAACCGCCCCTCACCTCTCTATGATTCCCGGGTAGTGCCCGGATGAGGAGGGCCGCGACCATAGAGCGGCAGCCCCCAGCGTAGAGCAAGAGCGGCGCGATGATGACGGAGCCGGCGCACAGGGCCGCGGCCTGCTGCCCCCCGAGGTAGCCGCCGCCGCAGCCGACGCCGCGCTCACTCGGCGGGGCTTTTCCCGGGGCCCAGGAGGGCTTCGGAGGCCTCGCGTGGGCCCCGAGAGGGACCGCGGCGTCCCCGCCTAACAGGCGCTTCTGTCCTTCCAGGGGCGGCCACGCCTCTGCTCCCTGCCGGCGCCGCCTGAGCGAAGGCGGACTGACGCCGCATGTCCTCCGCGGGGCGGGAGCTCCACGCCGCCGGCCCGGGGGACGCCCTGCCCGCCCAGCGCCCCGCCTCGGCCGCCCCTTGTGCGGCGCCGGGGACCGCGGGCGAGAGGCCGGCCTCGACGCTGCCCCCGGAGCCGCAGGGCTGGACCCTCGGCGCCCGCGAACCGCCCCGGAGGCCGCCCGGAGCGCCGCGCCCGGAGGAACAGCAGCAGCAGCAGCAGGAGATGCGGGGCGGCGGCTTAGGGAGGCCGGGCTGGTGCGAGGGAGGCCCGAGGCTGCCCACCTGCGGAGCGAAGGGGCGGCCGGGAGAGGTAAGAAGCGGAGGGGCCGCCTGGCTGGAAAGGGGGCGAACTCGGCTCCCCTCCAGGAAAACGGGGCTGCTGAGGTCAGAGGGTCCCTTAGCTTGAGCCTCGTTAACATCCCCCGGGGCTCTTAGAAATATAAGCATCTATTTCTCTGGGTGCGTTTATTTACCTTTAGGCCCCCTCGAAAGTCGAACGACTTTGCCGGGGTTTACCGTGCAGACGCCCACAAAAAAAGAAAAAACATCCGTCAGGGATGAGAATGAAATCAGCTTGAACAGAAACCGGAGAGCACGGAAAAGAAAAAGGGGGGCCAAAAGAGAAGGGGAAAAATCCCCAGGTGTCCCCAAGTATTAGACTCAGGAAAGGCTTCTTTCTCCGTAGCCCCCCTTGTTTCTGAAGCCTCCCAACCCCAGGAAGGGGCCAGAGTAGCCCCGCCGAAAAGCGGAGAAAGACACAATGGGAAGTGGTAATATTGCGGGTTCTGCTCTCCCGTTGAGAGGGGTCAGTCTGACGTACAGAGAAGCCCTGGGAGTGCTGGAGGGTGTAAAGGGTCTCTCTTCATTTATATACAGGGTTTATATATCTCACTTGCTTTTTCAGGGCTCCAGAGATGCATTTTGTCTTCTCCATTCTGCAGGACATCCAGTATCTAATCCCATTTCTCAAGATGTTTTTGTTCTCTGCAGTCCTGTGTGTGTGTATGTGTTTGTGTGTATGTATATGCATATGCATATAAACATGTACGTATACATACACACACACACACACATATATATTTATATTTTCCTTAAGTTTTTGCAGGTACTTACATGTATGGTATTCAGCTTTGTTCGGGTATTTTCCCACGTCATTATAGTTGTGCTTTTAAAGTTGTAGCAACGTTTTGGCAGAATCTCATCTGCCATCATCAAGCTTCTGTACTGTGTTCGTCTGTGAGTCAGACGAACTATAAAAGTCAACAACTGTAAAAGTCTGACTCACAGATGAACACTATACAGAAGCCTGATGATGGCAGATGAGATTCTGCCAAAATGTTGCTACAACTTTAAAAGCACAACTATAATGACTTGTGAAAATACCCAAACACAGCTGAATACCATACATATATATATCCACACACACATGTATATATTTGCCAATTAGGTACCATCTCCTGCATTTGATGATTGAGTGGGACTCTCACCCAAAGAAGCCGCTATGCTATAGTAATACATTTGTTGGAATTTAAGGAGCTGCAAAGCTCTTCGTTGCTGCAAGAAAGTAACATGGGCACCATTCCTTGAAACCAGCAAAAAATATTTGAATATTAGAAAACTGAAAGCTGTTTGAGAGGTGCATTTTTATGAGAAAACTATGGCCTTCCAACTATTGGTGGGTGGTTAATCTCAGACCTTCATGTTGTTGGAAGTTGGTCAGTTGCTTTTAGAAGGCAGCTTGTGACCGTTGCTCTGCCTAGAAAGGTGTTCAGGAAATTCTGACTTAACCTACAGCTTTGCTTGTGTTCCTACTGTTCCGCTGATAACTCACTTGCTTTCTTTTCAGAAGGAGTTTCAGCCAATCCAGACGGGGAGAGAACATGTTGCAAGCCCTTCCTGCCTTGAAATGAAAGACTTACTGCAGAATCTAGGTAGGCTCAAGCGTTGTTTTGGGGGGCTCTTCCGTGGTTTTGCTTTGCAAATGCAAATGTTGCTGGTAAGGCCCGTTTGAGGTGGGGAAAATCTGCTCCCCGCTTCACTGTGACTAAGAGCCACCTTGGGTGTGTACGTTCCATGTATATATATGAATATGTACATACATGATACATGCAACCATACATACATAAATAGTCCCTGCAGTTTTCTTGGGCAAGATTTTTCAAGGGTGGTTTGGTATTGCTTCCTTTGGTCGGGCCTCCCTGAATAAACCAGACAAGAAACATGATGACCTAAATCTACTTTATTGTATGGGCACATTAACGTATTTTTTGAAAATCTGAAAGTACAAACTTTCCACCTGCCATTTTTAACTATCTGATGAATTAGGGCAGGTCCTCCGTGCGTTACTTTTAGTGAACGTGCAAACCAGGGCCTGCATTTCCTGCATTGGACGAGGAGAGTACCTCTTTCTCCTTCTGTCCTGGCCGCTTTTTACAGAGGCACGATTAAGAGCGTTTTAACGAACTGCATCCCTGCTTGCTTTGGTGGTAGCAAATACAAGGTCCATACAGAGTGGTAAGGATAGCTGAGAAAATTATAGGAAGCTCACTTCCTGTCATTCAGGATACTGCTTACAAGCACTATGTGCTTAGAGATTGAAGCATGTTAGAGACCCCACACACTCACTTTATGGTCTGTTTCTGTTGCTCCCCTCCAGGAGGAGGTTTCAAAGTATTTCTAGCAGGACTACCAGATTCTGTAACAGCTTTGTTCCCTAGGCCAGAGTCCCCAAACTTGGCAACTTTAGGACTTGCGGACTTCAACTCCCAGAATTCTCCAGCCAGCTATGCTGGCTGAGGAATTCTGGGAGTTGAAGTCACGAGTCTTAAAGTTGCCAAGTTTGGGGACCCCTGCCCTAGGCCATCCATCTTGTAAACTTGTAGGATTTTATTTTTTATTTTCACCATATAGATGTATACATTGGAACTAGACGATTGATGTTTCTTCGTGTCGTGTGTGTGTCTGTCTATATGCATAATGCAGGGGTGGGCAACTATGGCCCTTTTATGAATTATGGACTTCAACTCCCAGAATTCCTGAGCAAGCCATGCTAGCTCAGGAATTTTGGGAGTTGAAGTCCACAAGTCATAAAGGGGCCATAGCCCACCTCTGGCATAATGGTTATCTTTTGACAGCTGAATGCAACAAAATTTCATTTTAATGTATGCTGATTAAATGTACGTTTAAAGTGACACTCAAGTTTTCATTCTGTTTTATTCTATTTCTTTGCTTCTCTGACCATTAAGCTGTGGGGGAGGGACTGCCTGTCTTGTCCAGTTGTTGCCTAGGCAGCCTCTCCTCTCCCCATTTCTCAAGGCCGTCCCTGTATTCCGTTACCTCACTCTTCCCTTCGGACTCCTCGGGCACACAGAAGAACTTGGGGTCGAAGCAAGTTGTGCCCCAGTTGCTATGCTAGTTGTTGCGTGGCACTCTGTTAGTTATTCGTCTGTGCATCTGCTTGCTGCTTATGCTGCAACAACATGGCTGCCAGATGCTCAGCGGTCAGTGAAGGTCCTTGAGGATCCAAAGCCATTCTTGAAATTCCTCTCTTTGCAAGGAAGTAGAAGACTTGCAAGATTAATGTTGGCGTTCCTGAAATAAACCGGATAGGAAATGTGACTGGATGAGCCAAGTCTGCTGCATTGTCAGGCAGCATTAACAGATTCTTGCAAGTCTGAAAAAGCAACCTTCCCCTCCACCCCTTTGAAGTGCTAGACTGATTGGGATGGATCCTTCCAGAGTTTGAAGTTAGCTGACGGTTTCCTAGGCAACGCCTCGTCTTCCCTTTCCTCAAGGCTATCCAGGCATTGCCTCACCAAAAGAGACTGGCCCAAGGCCACCCAGCTGGCTTTGTGTCCAAGGCAGGAGTAGAAGTACAGTCTCCTGGTTTCTGGATCGATGCCTGTACCCCTACACCAGACTGGCTCTATAACTCTTTGTATCTGTGTATCCATCTTCCCTCTGTCCTGAGGAATGGTTTTGCAAGCATTTTGCTTTGCCTATCCTTCCCTGCTTTCCATATAAATGCAAAATATAAATATAAATTGCCAGAGGGTTAACATCATTGCCCAGAGGATCATGGGTTGCCCTCTCCCCTCTTTGGAAGAGCTTTATAGCTCCCGCTGCCTTAAAATTTCAAAACACCCTTAAAGACCCATCTCATCCTGGGCACCCCTTTTTTTGAACTGTTATCATCTGGCAGACGGAACAAGACAATAAAAACAGGGACAAGAGGGCTGGAAAAGAGCTTCTATCCCAGGGCAGTAACCCTATTAAATGATACTTGTATATGGTGCAATATTAATGCTATAGCAGGGGTTTTCCCTTCAATTGTATAGAATGCGAAGGAGGTGAATTAGTGTTTTATTTTTATAGTTATAGGATACACGGAAGGTGGCATTTAATTTCGTTGTACGAGGTGCAATGACAAAGTAAATTAAACTTAAGCTCTTGGGCTACATTGCTAGTGTACCTAAGCAGGGATATTAAAGTTGGCCTAGCAAGAGAGAACCATCAAAGCTACGTAATGCAGTAATTTCTCGACCTCAACACCCAAAACTCCCCAGCCAAGCATCTAGCAAGATGCTACCCTGAGATCCTTATCTAAAGGATAAGGATGAGCTCTTTTTATTGAAAAGGATAAAAATGGTTTGTCAGCTGCATTGGGCCTGTCAAGTTGCTAGCAAAGTGTTCCCCTTCTGATCTGGCCATCTTGTCCGCTTCGCCTAGCTGGGCTAATGGCTGCCCCTCTGCTGAAGCTTCCGTTGCCCTCACTCCGGGGAACCTTCCACGGTTCATGAGTTCCTCCAGTTGAGCCGCCGAAGCCTACTTCCCTTCTGGGATCGTTTTCTTTTTAAACTGTGTATCATCTATTAACGAAGAATCAAGAATACTAATTTATTAACTTGTACCCCGCCCAACTCTCAACTAGGCACCTCAAAGCAATCCAAATAATTACAATAAAACAAAAGTTAAAAGTTGACAGTTGGCAAGCGCAGAGGAGTGCAGAGCCTGCTTTGAGCTCTTTGGATTGGAAAAAATGCTCCCGGACGCCTCCTCGTGTTTGGGAGCAGGATGAATTTTTCTCAGTGCCTCCATTTATTCCTTGGACCAGGGCTGTAAACTCACGGTGTCACGTGACATAGTGGGACTTTCCCCCCACTTCACTACATCGGGTGGGGGCGGGGCCAGCACGTGGCGCGTCTGGCGCACGAGTTTGACAGCCCTGCCTTGGAGCCTCCTGGCCTGACTCAGTGGCATCCGAAGCGCTTCCATCATAAACCCCGCAGTAGCGCAGGCTGGAATTCTAGAACCCGAGTCGAGTTCTGGCACGTCCACAGAGCAGCGGGTGTCCTGCTGATCACAGGTCTTGCATGTGGGAACCTTGCTGTGCAGAACTCAGACTGTCAAACTAAGACGTGGCTGTCATGAACCGGAGGCCCCCCCTTCCCCCCCCAGCTGCTTATTTACATTAACCCTCTTTGTGGAAACCAGGCAGGTAGCGACAGACAATTACAACTTAGTTTCTTTAGTGTATGAAGTGTGGCCTTTCTCCAGGTTTTGCCTCCAGGTCACCTGCTGAGTGGGTGAGGACACCAAGTCCTTAGATGTGTGGGTGTTTAGGAAGGGCTTCCAAGGGGGGGGGTCTTTCTGAAAAGCCGGGGGGGGCAGTGGAGGACTTCCTTCCTTTGAGGGGGGCTGTGAGGACAGGCGCTGCAGAGAGACAGAGCCTTAGGCACCGGAGTCTCTCCTGCCATGTGGGCGGTGTGAGGACAGTTAGGGTGAGGGTTATTTTCAAAGAGGATGGCCCCCGTCTCAGTCCTGTTTTTCTGTTGTTGTTTTTTTGTGTGTGTGTGTGTGTGTTTCTAGAAGACAGTCCAGTAAAAGTGCCAGTAGCATCTGAGAAGCCATGCGGGCTCCCGAATGAAGAAGCTCCAGGTATGAAGGCTGATGGGACCGGGCTATGTTGTAACACGGGAGAGCCCAGGCCCCAAGCGAGGACAGGTGCGCTGCTTGAGGCCAGTCCGTGCTCAGGTGGAGTTGCAGTTTCAGGAAGTAAGCGCTTAATCTCTCCAGAGCCTCTCAGTCCTGCCTCGGCCAGAGAAGATGAAGAAGTCCCGGCCTCTGCCCGGCAGACGGAGGGAGAGGTGATTCAGGATCCAGGCCCAGAAACGAAGGCCGTTTGTAACAGCCGTCCATCCGTTCAGCAAGGAGCGTTTGGTCCGCCCGGTAACCCCGGCCTTGCTCTGGCTTTGGATGTTGGCCCAAGAGGCGCGCGGCTTGAAGGCCGGGCTTTGCAATGCAGCTCATTGGGAAGGACCTCTCCGGGGGACTGCATGGATCTCTCTGAGGTGGCCTGTGAGGTGCAAGAGGGAACCTTCAAGAGCGATCCGAGCCGTGGACAGATGGAGGATCTGGGAGAAGCCACTGAGCCGCAAATGGCTGAGGCTCCGCTGCAGGCAGGGAGCCCTGGCAGAGAGCTGTCCAACAACGAGCCCCAGGGGAATGGCAGCATGGATCTTTTTTCCAGCCCTGCGCATAAGGGAATGATTGGAATCCAGAAAGGGTCCGCTGGGCCCAGCTGTTGGAAAGGAGAGCGAGAACATTTGCCTTCCAAACGCAGCATGTTTCTAAGTCCAGCCGAAGAGCTTGTGGCGCCAAAAGACCCAGACCGGCATTCCGACATCGGCCGCTTCTCCCTTTGTGATGGTGTCCAAGCAGCCCTTGAAGGTGACCCAAGAGTGAGCTCTTCAGAGGCCGGCAGCATCCCAGAGGATAAAAGTTCTTCTCTCCGCCATGAGAAATGTGTCACGTTGGGACAGAGAAACGGAGCTCTTCTGTCGAAAAGGCATCACTTGGGGTCCTTTCAGAACAGTTGCAGTATAAAGTATGTTTCTACGTTTCTCAGCTGCTGGGCTCCTCAGCTGGACTTGGGGGGAAATGGCTTGCCCCTCCGAGCGGACAGTCCGAGGACGGCCTTCCTGCTCTGCGGCTCAGCTCTGCCTCAGTGGGCTACCCGTTCTTTCTGTGTGCTTGCTGATGAAAAAAGCCTTAACGTCCTTCAACTCCGTGGCCCATCTCCATTTGCCCAGAAGGCTGACCCAGGCCCGGGTCACGGAGGGCCCATGGACAGCCTGTCTTCAGGGGGAGTCATTGTGAGGCAAAACCCCGGGGCCCGGCCTCATCACAAGGAAGCATTTGCTCCAAGTCAAGCCAGTGGCAGGCTGCCGGCAGTAATGAATGAAGGGGCCTGGGAGATGGTTGGATGGGTGCTGAGAGGGGCAGAAAATGTGGAGGTTGCCATGGAAGCCTTCTGGGGAAAAACACTCCGTTTGAGGGTCCAGGCGGTGAGCGATCTTCCTTCTGCTCCAGAGGAGGTCTACGCCCTGGCAAGAAATCTCTTCTTAGACTGCAGACGTCTACAAGAAAGCAGAAGAGCGGCAGCCACCAAAATAGCTTTCAGCTTGGGAATAAGCCCAGCCCTTTTGGAGTCCAGCGGGAGAGTCATTTCTCTCCCCCCAAAATTCAGTTGCTCTCCCTACAGAAATAACTGGGTGGGCTTGGGTAGGGCAGGAAGACCCTTGAATTCAGTCCGTCCCCTGGAAGTTCCCTGCTCTAGTCTGTCGCAGGCAGAAGCTGAAAAGTGGAGTATTAATGGTGGAGATGCTTTTGGTGGTTCAGAAAGTATTCTGGAGGGGAAGGGTAATATTCTTCCTCCCTATGGAGGAGTAGAAGTCCACAAAGCTTCACATGCAGCTGATGCTGGCGGAATGAAAGCAGGAAATGCAACAGGTTGTAGCAATACTAGACTCTCTCTTCGGCGTGCGTTTGATGGAGGCTTGAGCAAAACTCCCCTTCTTTGTAGAGCCACTTTTAGAAAAGGTCAGTGCCTAGAAGAACAAGAAAAATGCCGGGGTCACCCCTCTTCCCCAGCAAGTAATCTCTCTCGTTTAAACAGAAAAGACTCTTCTTTATGTACTAAATGTTCAGCTCTGCAGAGGGAACCCATTTATCAGATGAAAATATTTCTTCATCCCTGTTATTCCCTTGATAGTTGCACCTTGTTTGAGCAGAAAGATGATTCACCAAAGACAGAGTTTCTAGAATGCCAGCAGCCTTCCTTAATTTTCTACAAGAAACTAAATTATCATGATTTGCAAACTGTGATCCGTTCGGTGATAAAATACGTCCGGTGTAATAAAAATAAATCATTGCATTCAAAGAGGGAGCTAAAGGTAACCCCATCAGCTACGACTGCACTTTTAACAGAATATCATCAAGGTCCATTTCACAAAATCATCACGGAATCCTCCAATAATAACACGGGGTCAGAATTTACTGGCCATCTACCGAATGAAGACTTATTAGAATCACAAAGTCCCAGGACTCTTTCCGGGAGCTCTGCTTCCGAATCACTGAACCCGAGTGATTCTGTGAAGAATTGGGCTCCTCGGTCAGAGACCCACGATCTCCATCCTGCCTCTGAATCAATCCACAAAAGGCCATCAGGGAAGTTCAATTTCGAAAAAGGATTATTGTCTGCCAGTAACTTGGCTTCATCTCCTTTTCAGACAGGCCCTGCTGCAACTTCTCCCCAAATTAAAGGACAGGCAAGAACGAAAGGGCTACTTCTAAAATCCTTCAGAAAAAGAAAAATGCCGAGCTTGCTATCTGCAGGCTTAGGCTCCCAGTTTCCTCAGAATAAAAAAACGTGCCTATTTCCCAAAGAGCCCGCATTAGCGTCCCCTTCTCACGGCTCTCCTCTTGCCCAGCGGCACTGCCGAGCGTCCCTCCCGCGTGAAAGAGAAGCCGGCTTGGAAAGCGAAAGGGTGAGCAGCTCCCCCGGACGAGATGCGGCTGCAGCCGGCTCTCTGCTTAGCAGGAGGACGTGCCAGCACTGCAAGGGTCCCAGAGTAGAAGCGGTTGTATCGCTGTACCCTCTCGAGCAGCCCTTGGAAGATTTGGAAGCTGACCCGAGAGAGGCCGGCCGGACAGCTGGGACGATGGACGGATTTCCAGTTCGCATTCTTTCTGACACGGAGGTGTCTTCAGAAGCCCTCCTGGGAAATTTACCGCTTCCTCTCAGGGGTGGGAAGGTCACATTCCCATTCAGGGCTACGATACACGCAGGACTCGCTCTTGGCTTACCTGAGGACTTTTTGGAATCTGATTCCGGGAAAGCCAAAGATTCCCCAGAGCCCCCGGTTACGTGGCGGCAGGTAGAGAGCCCGAGTTGTGCGCTGCGGGTTGAACTTTTCCTTCCCTTAAGGAAACCAGCAGTGCCATCCTCATCCTCATCTGGCCTAGAAGGTGGGAACTTCGCAGGCTTCCCGACCTGGCCCAGCGTGAAAGAAGGACGTCCGCTGAGGGCAGAGAGGGCCCAGGGGCTGGCAGGAGGCCCAAGGGAAGGACGGGAAGGGCACTTGGTGGATGAGCATCGGAGGAGGGGAGATTCTGAAGCGGGGGCTCAGCCGCCAGCCCCAAAGGAGAAGCCCCCAGTGGGAAGAAGGCTTGCCCTTGGACAGCCTGCAGGCGACTCCTCCGGTGAGAATGCTGAGGGTCCGGGAGAGCTTGCACGGAGCGTTTGGGCTTCCCTAGGAAGGGCTGGGCGGAAGAGGCAGCAGCAGGAACCCCCTGCCCACGTGCAAAGGGAATCCAAAAGGCAAAAGAGAGGTCAGGGGGTGTGTGGAGAGCCGGCAAGCCTGAACCTTCCCTTCTGGAACCGTTGCCGGCAGGCCTGCTGGTCCAGCTCCGTTGGAGTTTTTGGCCCCTTCCCTCTGGCTGTTGGCTGTGATCAGAGCAGAAGCCCTGGCGTCTTTGGGTATTTGCACCTGCAAAGGCCTTTTCCAGCCTTCGGGAAACTGTCCGGAGCAGCCTGCATAAAAGCTGGCATGTCACGCCGGCTCAGGGCACCCAAACCTCTGGCATCCAAGAGGGAGCTTGTTTCTTCTGCACAATCAGCCACTGAGCCGGCAGCCCCACAGCCTGTCCTTTGGGACCTCCCGGTGAAGCAGCAGGGCCACCCGAGCAGCTCTCGGGCCGTCTCCTGGCTCGCCGGGCAGCCCAAAGACGCTGCCTTGTTGACGAGGCTCTCCCGGTTAGCTGAGGAATTGCTGTCCCCCGCCTGCCGTCCCTTCCTGCCTCGCAGGGCGCTGCTTCCTTCAGCTGCCAAGTGGAGCCCGCGGAGGAGGAGGAGGAGGAAGAGGAGGCTGCTGGAAATCTTCTCCCTTGTCAGCTTAAAGTTGAGCTCCCCTCTGTGGCTCAGCAGCTGCTGCTTCAAGATGGCCGGCTCCCAGGCTCTGCCCGTTTATTCCGTCGAGTCGACAGTCCTCTGCTTCTTCGAGCTGAGCAGCAACCCTTCCTGCCGGTGCAGCCCTCCCAGCGTTTCCCCTTTGCCTTTCCATCACCAAATGGACATTGGGCCCCCCGGGGAGCTCCCCAAGGCAGGGTCCCCGAGCCTCGTCCCCGTATTTCCTCGGAGGGGCCCGCAGCCTCAGCCACCCTCCGCGTGGAGCCTCTTTTTCCTTCTGCCTCAAGGCTGCCCAGATGCCATGCTGATCCAGAAAGATGCTGAGCCCGGTTCCGCCTCGGCCCGCAAGGCGGGAGAGGCCGTTGCTCGCAGTCCGGGCTGCCCAACTCCCGGCCTCCCTTCGGCCTTAGCTTTGTTTTCCCCCGGCTGCTACCGTGCTTGGACCAGGAGAAGACGACACCCCAGCGGCCGAACCCCGGCGGCCCAGCGGCTGAGCCTGCTGCACTTTGCTCGGAGCTTCAAGGGGCTCCAGGATTGCGCTTCTGTGCCAGCCGGCCTCTTCTCGGCCTTGCCCTCTTTGCTGGGCAGCGTCCTGTCCACCTGGAGCCAGCAGAGACCGTCCGTCCATCTGTCCGAATCCACTCCTCTGCATTCCAGTCCCAGCAAGGGACCACCAGCCCTCCCTGCAATGGCCAGCCTGAGCCACAGAACCAGGTAAAAGCCCTGTCCTCCTCTGGGGAATTTGCCTGCACGGCTGTATGTATAAGTCAGAGTCTCTCTCTCTCTCTCTCTCTCTCTCTCTCTCTCTCTCTCTCTCTCTTTCTCTCTCTGAGGGGGTGGAGGCCTTCCGGCTCCTTCCTTAGGCATGTTGGGTAAATCTGCTTGTTGGGGGGGGACCCACTAACTCCGTTGCTCTCCCTCCAAGCCACTAGGAGGGTTGTTTGTTGTCCAAGTACTTCTCTGCACCACAGAGACGTGTGTACTCAGTACTTCATTGTAGCACACACCTTCCCTAAGCTGTTGCTCTGGGTTGACTCCATAAGTGCTTGGAGCCTCTGTAGCACAGTAGTTAGAGTGCAGCACTGCAGGGCTCCTTCTGCTGACTGCCGACTGACTGTAATTTGGCAGTTCAAATCCCATCAGCCTCCCATCCTTCCGAGGTGGGTCAAATGAGGACCCAGATTGTTGGGGGAAAGAGGCTGACTCTATGAAACCGCTTAGAGGGGGCTGGAAAGCCCTGTGAAGTCTAAGTGTAAGTCTAAGGATCCCAACCTTTTTTTCGCCCCGCACCCCTAAAGAAATTTCACTCGAATCTCACACCCCCTGAAATAAATAATAAATAAAAATGCCAACATATAGCCAGTATCCTATTATTTACCTGGACTTTTCTCGCGAGCACCCCAGGTTGGGAACCCCTGGCCTAAGGGCTATTGCTATTTACAAGTAGATATACCCACCAGGATAGATCTCTGGGGCTTGGCCCTTACAACTTGGCTCTTCCAGCCTCTTCACTCCCTCCAAAAGTCCTTAGGCTTGTTGGGATCAGGTGCCGTCTCGGTGTGGTTGCTCCTTTGGGATCCCTAGCGAACTCCAGGCCAGGCTCCGCTTTTAGAGCGGAGCTCTAAGCCCGGGCAGAAGAGGCACAGCCCTTAGACTTACACACCGCTTCACAGTGCTTTCCAGCCCTCTCGAAGCGGTTTACAGAGTCAGCCTCTTGACCCCAACAATCCGGGTCCTCAATCCGGGTCCAGAATCCTACCAGAATGGGCTGCTTCCTGGCGCACCTAGTCCTGGCAGTTGAGTGACAGCCCTCTTGCTTGCCTGTAATGGTGGTAAATGCCCAGGTGTCGCTTCCTCAGCCGCTTGTTGACTGGAGCTCTTTCCCTTTTATGGATGAAGGGCCTGGGTGGGGTGAGGCTCCCTGTGGAGGTGGGCATGTCCCTGGAGACATCAGGGCATGGCTCGGTTTGCTGAACAGTTGGGACGCTGGCACAGATGCCACACCCATTTCTCCCAGCAAAGCGAGGGGTGCCTGTGTCTTCGTGAGTCCCTCTGATCTCGGATTTCTGCGGTGGCCGATTTTGCTGCCCTTTGGGAAAAGGGCTGAGCTGAGCCTTGGCTGCAGATGCTGTTTACGAGTGCAGACAGTAACCTCCGCTTCACGTCCTCACAGCCACCCAACACACCAGGGGCCAGGGGATAAGACGGCAGAAAAAGGAACTACCTCACTCCTGTTTGGAAGCCGGTGCCAAGAACCCCGGTTTCCGAAGGAAGAGAGGCTTGGTAACTCAGCCTTTGGGCTCTCCCTGGCTCAAAAGCGGCACTAGGCAGGCAGGCAGAATGGCAGCAGAGCAGGCTGGCTGCTGGGGCGAAAGTTCGCCAGGCCCTCTCTGCCCCTAGCTCAATTTGGCAAGAGGGGGAGAATGATTTATGGAGGACGCTACAAATTCAGTTTATTTTCTCCCTTTGCAAGTATTGACGGAGATGTAACTACGAGTTCACAAAACATGCCCTGTTTATGCTGGACAGGTGATAACAGAAAAAAAAAAGCAATAAAAATGATACAATTACTAAGCCTAATGAGGGAAATTTTTTAGACGTTACCTAATTCCTGCTTCTCCCCACATGATATCCTTGCTCTGCTTCTGTATACGTGTAGATGAGTTACGCTGCTTATCTAGGGCAAGGGTGTCCAGAATAGCTGGCTGGGGGAATTCTGGAAGTTGAAGTCCACAGGTCTTCAAGTTGCCAGGATTGGACATCCCTAATCTGGAGCTCCGGTCAGGAAAAATTGCAAAGGAAATTGCTGGGTAACCAACCCAAGGCAAAACATTTTGCCCAAGTCAATAAGGCTGTCGGGCCTCAGTGTCCTAGGGCAGCATTTGTAGACTCTTGAGGATGGAGCTTCCAGGCAAACAAATCCGTCCCTTCTCTTGGCTGAACAAAACTTAAGTGAAGATCCAAACCAAAGGAGGTCAACTCTTTATCTAGAGAAACATTCCAAACCACCTAAAAGGCTGACCAAGAAAAAGAGACTCCTTGCTCTTCGTTGGGGGGCTGAGATGGAAGACCCTTTCAGAAGGTGGTCAGTCACATGGCTGACCCAAGTGACCACCATTACATTTACTACCCTTACGTAGGCTCCTTTGTGGTTGTAACTTGAGGACTAACCACATGACGTTTGAACAAGTGGCGTTAGGAAGGAGGTAGGGGCAAGCAGGCATCTTGACTCCCAGGTCTCTTCCGGTGGATTTCCTGTAATTCTGCAAGCTTCGCTGGTTTCTGGGCTAGTACCAAGTGCTTTACGGAATGACAAGAGTTGGAAGGGATCTTGGAGGCGTTTAGTCCAACCGTCTGCTCAGGCAGGAAACTCTGCCATTTCGGACAAGTGGCTGTCCAGTCTCTTCTTAAAAGCCTCCAGGGATGGAGCTCCCACAACTTCTGAAGACAAACCAGTCCACTGGTTAATTGTCCTCCCTGTTAGGGAGTTTCTCCTTAATTCCAGGTTGCTTCTCTCCTTGATGGGTTTCCATCCGTTGCTTCTCGTCTTGCCTTCAGGGGCTTTGGAGAAGAGCTCTACCGCCTCTTCTTTGGGGCAGCCCCTCAAATATTGGAACCCTGCTATCGTGTCACCCCAAAGGGCAGCAAAACCGGCCATCTCAGAAATCTGAGTTCAGAGGGGCTTATTCATACACACACACACACCTCGCTTTGCTGGGAGAAATGGGTGTGGCATCTGTGCCAGCACCCCAACTATTTAGCAAACTGAGCCATGCCCTGATGTTTCCGGGAACCTGCCCACTTCCCTCTTTCCACCAGACCTATCCAATTCCTTCATATGTTTTAGCCTCCGGCCCCCGCTTGAGGCTTCAACCTCAGGTCAAGGTAGGGCTTCCGCCTTTTAATCCTCTCCCAGGTAGACAATCCACCGTCTGCTTTTGCAGAAGCCAAGGTGGCTCCTGAGTGGCTTTTCCACAAAGCCCTACGTTGGTCCCAGCCAAAGCTTTGACGAAAGGCCACCCCGGGAGGAGCCCTCGGCTCTGAGACTCAGCTGGGAGGCAGGAAGCGTTGCGCCCCCGCATTGCTTGCATCAGGACTCCCCTCCACCAGGCCAAACATTCACCGCTTGCAGCCTGCAGGCGGATCTTGCTCTTAGTCCACTGAAGGCCCTTTGGAGTGGAAGTGCTGAGCTCGGCCAAGCTCTCCGGTGCGTGTCCAGGCGGGATTCCTTGCCCGTTGTGCTCAAGGAATGAATTTGCATTGGTTGAAGCTCCTTGCTTCGGTCCAGCTCCTGTGAGGAATGCGCTTCTTGAGACCGGCCTTTCCTGCACACTCCAGAGGTGCCGGCAGAGCGGGAGGGAGGGTGGCAGCCCAACTGGGTGGTGGCGGCAGGGACGAGCCCTCCCTTGTCTGGGAAGTGTTGGGAGACCAGCTGCTGCCGCCGCCGCCAGAGGGAGCTTCCTCCCACCCAGTTTGAGGGTCTGTTTTTGCCTTCAGCGCCACTTCCGCTTCCTAGACCAGCGGTCCCCAAATTGGGCCACTTTCAGACTTGTGGGCTTCCATTCCCAGAATTTCTCAGCCAGCGCATGCTGGTTGGGGAATTCTGGGAGTTGAAGTCCACTTGTCTTAAGGCCAAATTTGGAAGCCCCCATCTTAGCCAAATAGGCCAGGAAAGCTCTAATTCTGCTCCATTTTCCTTCAAATATGGATTCAACGGTCGTCATCTCATTCTGCGTTACGTTCTAATTTTCTGTTTGTTTTCTGTGACTTCTTCCCCCCCACCTTCTTCAAACCAGCCCCAGCTCGCCTCCCCTGGTGCCTGGCCTGCCAAGTGATCCTTCCAGGGCTGTGAAGAACGACGTGAGGTCAGTGCGCTCCCCCTCTATTCCCCCCCCCCAAAAAAAACTCCTCCTTAGATACAAAAGGAAGCGATTCCGTTCTTCCTGCCTTGAGCTCACCTTTCATCCATGGTTGTCTTCTTCGGTCTGGGCTCCCTTTTAGAATTCGCTTTTTTATTTCCACAACTAGCCCTCTTACCTAAGTGTCTCTGGGAAGTTGGCCTAATAGAGGGAGTCCTCAACTTACAGCTGAGCCCCGTGGTGGGCTTCAAATAATTTAACAGCCAGTTCTCTGCCCGGTTGCTGGGTGGGCGTGGCCTAGTCGGCCTTCCTGCACCATCCTGGGAGCAAAAACGGGCTGGGGGGGGCGATTTCCCACCTCCCTGGGCTCCGGCATTTCTCTGGAGGCTGGAAATAGGCCCGTTTTCCACCCTCCACGGGCTCCTGGGAGGCCCGTTTTCCACCTCCCTGAACTACACGCGCCCCTTGCGCTGACCTGGGATCCAGAATGGGCCTGGGAGGGGCAGGGCGGGGCCAGACAGTCATTGGCACTACCAGTTCACCAAACCGGACATCAAAATAACATCCGGTTCACCCAAACGGGCTGACGCCCACCCCTGATTGAGCTGCAAATTTCTGTGGCTAAGCAAGACGCTTGTTAACTGAATTTTATCCCATTTTATGTTCGTTCTTGCCACAGTTGTTAAGTTGGTAATGTGGTTGATAGGTGAGAGTCAGTTGCCAAGCACCCAAATGTTGGTCACATGACCATGGGAACGTTGCAGCAGTGGTAAGTGTCTTATAACGGTTGTAAGTCACTTATTTCAGGACTGTTGTAGCTTTGGTCACCAAACAAAGAGTTGCAAGTCGAGGACTCCCTGTAAAACAATTAAAAGTAAAGGCACAGATTGAAAACCAGAATGAAAGGTGAAACCTTAAAGTAAAACTGAAAAGGTAACAAATTCTGAAGGCGGCAAAGGAAGCGTCCTGAAGGCATCGGCCGTCCCCAGGGTTGCGTTGCATGGCCCCCATGAGTGCAGAGACAGCTGGGGCCCAGCGGAGGTTATACCACCTGAGGCTTCTCAGGAAACAACAACCGAATGAAAAACTGCTGGTGACCTTCTACCGCTGCACCAGGGAGAGTACCTTAACTTACTGCGCCTGGTTTGCCAGTTGCACCAGGGCAGATAGGATGGCGCTCCAGAGGGTTAACGTCATTGCCCCTCAGAAGATCCTGGGTTGCCCTCTCCCCTCTTTGGAAGAGCTTTATAGCTCCCGGTGCCTTAAGAAAGTTCAAGGCATCCTCAAAGATCCCTCTCATCCTGGGCACCAGCCTTTTTTTGAACTATTACCATCTGGCAGATGGTACAGAAGAAGAATAATAACAAGGACAAATAGGCTGAAAAACAGCTTCTATCCCAGGGCAGTAACTGTATTGAATTCTACTGTATAGTGCAATATTAATGCAACATCGGGTTTTCCATTCAATTGTATAGAATGTGAAGGATGTGTGTTTTGTGTTTATTTTTATAGTTATGGTGTACATTGAAGATGGCATTTAATTTCGTTGTACGAGGTGCAATGAGGATGAAGTAAACTAAACCTGGAGGCTGTGGGGCTTTGAGGGGAGGGGCTGCTTCGCTCACCGTGGAGACCTCCTGCTTTATATATTCCACGGAAAGGTTGTTCCACTTCTGGTTAATGGAGTGACTCTGCAGAAGTTCCCACAGTATCTGCCTCTGTTCATTCGGGTCAATGGGGGGGGCAAGGTTCATTTGGCAGATTACTTTTAAGTTGCTCGGGGCTCTGCCAGCCCCGATGCAGGAGAGGACCGGGCTGAGTGTTAGAGTCCAGCTCACCTCGAATTCCATCAACTCTTATCTAATTTGCTTTGACTGTTAGTAGTTTGGATTGTTGCAGAGAGCTTAAGCTTCCAATTAACCTTTATATTTATTTGAACCGCCTGGATTTCCAGGTTTCCTGGCTTGTCACACCCTCCGTTTCTTGCCGTCTGACTTTCCTTGCCATGGTTGACTTTACTGTCCCTTTGTCGCGGCTCCAAAGATCCCTGAACTCACCCGTCTTTCCTTTGCCCCTTTTCCTAGGTTGGAATCCATCTTGTCTGTGCTGTTGCCAACGTCTTGCCAAGGTCCTGAACCGGCTCACCCTCCTTTAGGATTTCCAGCTCTTGGATCTGGAGACGGACACGAAGCTTCTGTCCCGGCGTTGCCTAAGGCTGGAGCTCAGCTTGCAAAAGTGAGTGGTGCCTTGTATGCGCTCAAGCTGGTTGTCGGGTGCTTCTCATTGCTGCGCGGTGGCCATGTTTTTGTTGGTAGAATAAGTTGTCTGGGGTGGAAGTAGAGGAAACGTGTGATAAGGAAAGCCTGCTGGGGCTGAAGGGGATGGAGATGGCGGTTACTCTCCGTGAGCATCAGCTCCAGCCTCTCCCCATCTCAGCCGCGTCTAAGGGCCCCTCAAAGAGCTGGCGTTTGGTTCAGCGTAAGGGTTGGGAAAGCCACTGAAGGGGAACAGTCCTGTCGGCACATGGGGAGACAGGAGAGCCGCGTTCCAATATTTGAGGGGCTGCCACAGAGAGGGGGAAGGGGTCAATCTATCTTCCAAGGAACCCAAAGGCCAGATAAGGAATAATAATGGATGGAAACTGATCAAGGAGAGATTCAACCTAGAAATAAGGAGAGATTTTCTGACAGTGAGAGCAATCAACCCATGGAACAGAAGTTGCCTCCAGAAGTGGTGGGAGCACCATCACTGGAGGCTTTCAAGAAGAGACTGGGCTGCCGTCGGTCAGAAATGGTGTAGGGTGTCCTGCTTGGGCAGGGGGTCGGACTAGATCAGGGGTTGCCAACCTTTGGACCTCAGGGACCACCAAACTCATAATTTTAAATCCCCCAAAAAGTCTACAGGAAATTCTCCACCGCTTTTTCCTACCAATCGATCGTTCTTTATTTGGGATCTCAGGATACCGTCTCCAGCTCCGTTCCCGGGGGGAGAGAAAGAGAGAGAGAGAGAGAGAGAGACTTTTGGCTTCATGAAAGGAAAACAGCAGAAGCAGCAGAAGTCTTTCTTTCTCTCCCCCAAACTCCACCAGGAATGAGTCTTTGCAGCCTCTTGGAGCAGGAGGCCTTGCAGGGTCCCAAAGACTCACTTATGGCGGAGTTTGGGGGGAGAGAAAGAAAGACTTTTGCTGCTTTCCTTGCGTGCAGACAAAAGCAGAAGCAGAAAGAAGCAGCCCAGTGGCCAGGCCAGGCACGTAGGGTGAGTGGGGCAAGTTCCCCCCCTCCGCCCTTTCCCCACCTCCCCTCACTACCTCATGTTGTGTTCCCGTGCAGGCTGGATTAATTGCTTTGGGGGTAACATTTTTCTGTGGATCACCAACATTTTCTTGTGGACCACCAGTGGTTCCCGGCCCACTGGTTGGCGACCCCTGGACTAGATGACCTACAAGGTCCCTTCCAACTCTCATTTATCTGGTTCTGGCGTCCGGTCGGCTCGGTCATTCAAGGACTTGAGGGAGGGGAAGCTGAGAGAATCCTTCACATGGACCAGAGGGGCGGGGGGGGGGGAGAGGCCCATCTGGACTAACGCTGAAAATGTGCGTCTCTCTTTCCTCCCCCCCGCCCCAAGGACAAGTCGGAGAACAGGCCAAAGAAGGTGTCTCAGATCCGCATTCGGAAGACGATTCCTAAGCCAGACCCCAACCTCACCCCCATGGGGCTTCCCAGACCAAAGAGGTAGGACCGTTGCCTTCACCTGTCTCCTTGATGGGCACCTGTGAAGTCCTATGAGCTGCCAAGGATTGGGAGGGATCAGCATATCTTAACTGGAGAGCCTTGCGGGGAGGTGTGGGGGGGGTGTTAAGAAAAACTGGTGGGTCGTTGGGGGCCCCCCGGGGGGGAAAAACCCGCGGGGGGTTCGGGGGGGGGGGGGGGGGGGGGGGAGGTCAGCCTTTCAAGGTAGACCAGAGGTGAAGATCAAAGGTATGAATGCTGAAAGTTCTTATACAGTTGCAGTAACGGATTCTTACATGTCTGAAAGCAGCAACACCCAGGTGTCATTTAGCCAAATCCGTGTGCCCCCGTCAGCAAATGGGCACCATCTTCCATACCAGTGGCGGGATTCCAAAATTTTTTACTACTGGTTCTGTGGGCGTGGCTTGGTGGGTGTGGACATGTGACCGGGTGGGCGTGGCTTTTCTTGGCTTTTTTATTTTTTCGGGGGGGGGGGGGGCATTTGGGGGCCTTCCGGGCCTCAGAGGAGCCTTGGGGGGGTTGTTTTTGCTCCTCTGGGGCTCAGGAAGGCAAAAAAAAGGAAGGGGGCTGAGCCCCTCCCTCCATTTTTTGCCTTCCTGGGCCTCAGCAAGGGGAATCCTGGCACAGCTGATTGTATTAACAGCTGATTGTATTAACAGCTGATTGTCGGGAGGGGAAAAAAAGAAAGAAATACCTTAAGGGCAAGCATCAGGCGGGTGCGGTAAGTGAGCCAGCGGCGACCGGGCGACCAGGTTGAGGGCGTGGCCAGCCAGAACTTACTACTGATTCGGCGACCCATCCCAAATCCTTGCTACCGGTTTGCTCGATCCGGTGCGAACCGTCTGAATACCACCACTGTTCCATACCAGCTGGAGCTGGAAGACACACAAACGGCAAGTGGTGGTAGTGTAACCGAGAGACGACAAGGGCACGAGTGATCCATCCGCAGTGCCTTCTGGAGATTTCCTCACAGCTGGCTGAAGGCGCTCTTTCCACAGCTGTCCCCTTCCATTGGTCCACAGGATCCTGGGATTGTGTGCCGGTATCATCCGCGTGATTCTTGGGGGCGATAGGTGGAGCAGCCATCCTACCGGAAGGGTTCAATGCCAGCAGAAAAAGTGTTTTTTATGTTTATTTAAATAATTTAAAAACCGCTTTGGACCCTATAAGGGGGCTCTGCAGCTAAGATGCTGCTGCTGCTGCTAACATTTGCAGCCGTTTGAAGCCTTCCCTGCCTGTGGTGTGGTACATAGCTGAAAGCCGCCTCTTCCCTAACCAAAGAATGGTAACTGCTGTGGGAATGCAATGTTGTTAGTTAAGGTGGTGAGTTGGTGGTGAGTTGATGCCTCCTTTTGCCTTCCAGGTTAAAGAAGACCGAATTCAGCTTGGAGGAAATCTACACCAACCAGAATTACAAATCTCCCCCAGCAACCAGGTGGGTTACCCTAGCAGGAGCCCGTAGACAGCATAGCATTGGAACAGGGGATTTGGGGATCTGCAGAAAGCGAAGTTGTGGGGAAATTCGTGGGTCTCCCCTCTACATCCACTCCATGGTTGCAAAGGGTTATACACCAGCGCGCTCTGTGGCTTGAAAACCCATATCTGGCTTTGAGCCCCTTTGTTGAGGTAATTCCCCATTAGGAGAACGAGCGCATACAGGCAGACGTATGGAGAGTAGTGTTGGAATAATACACACAGAGCACACAGATACACTGTACAGTAAATGTAGGTTTTTACTTCCAGAAAGGTTTAAGCAAAGTCCAAACACAGTCCAAAAGTCATTCACAAGTAAAATCAGTCAATTTTCATCCAAGGATAATCCAAATATCAAATTCCAGTGTCAAAAACAGTTCAGTATCAGATTTACATTAAATCCAGTAATATCAGTCAATTAGAAGAAATGGAGCAAGGACAATACTTTCCAACAGAAGGAAACAGAGATACACTCACATTCTCTTCTGAGACTCAGACTAAGACTAAAAACAACCCAGGTTTCTGGCTCCATCTTATGGCTGTTTGAGAAACCACACCCAATTGCATGCTCTTGCATTCCCTTAAAGATATAGTACTAAAATGTTTGTCCTGGTTTGTATATTTCTAACCCACATACCTGTCAGGTGACTTATATTCCTAACACCCTTTGCTAAATCAAGAGCTTTTGGTCCCTGGTGAGATTATGAAGGTGAGGCCTGAAATTTACCCCCTTTTGGTTTGTTGGTTTGTTTTTTTCCTCCCAGGTGCCTGGAAACCATTTTTGAAGAGCCAAAAGAGAAAAATGGGTCTTTAATCTCTATCAGCCAGCAGAAGAGAAAACGGATTTTGGAGTTCCAGGATTTCACCGTTCCCCGGAAGAGGAGGGCTCGTAGCAGAGTGCGAGTGACGGGCGGCTCCACGCGGGCGCAGAAGGCGGCCGTAGAAGGAAGGGAGCTTGACGTCCTCCTCATTCAGAAACTGGCCGACCTGGAGACCTTCTTTGCCAAGGAGGAGACCCAGGAACAAGCTTCCCCGCGTAGCTGAGGTTGGGTCGATCGGCTGGAAGAGCGTGTGGCGCTTCAGAGACCTGGTGTGCCTGGAAGGGGAACCGCCTTTTCCCAAGGTTGGACCAACCTCCCTGACTGAACCCTATAGTGATATTTTCCTACAGGTTGGAGGAGAATAATTAATTTCTGTTAACCTGATGAAACAGCCCTTTCTTTAGCCTCCCTTGTCAAAAGGTATTAACGCCTGTGTGGGGGTTTTCGTTTAAAAAGGCTAAGAATGTAGGGCAGAACAAAGGCTACAGCACCTTCGGAGACATTAGGATTGTAAGGACTTCCCAAAGTTAGCCATGGGCTGCTCCTCTGGGTCTTCAACCCTGGTAACGTGGCAGCCAGGACGAAGGATTTTTAAGGTTTTCGTTTCGTTTGTTTCTAGCAAAGTTCCTTAGTTTGCATCGTTGGGCAGCAGGACCCCCTGTGTCCATCGGCCAGCACGTTTTTCCTCAAAGAAGAGAAGCTGTGCGCGACCTCCAAGTTGTGTTCCGTGGCAGACACACCTAGTTGTGGCACTTGGTTTGTTTTGCTGCCTGGGGACCCAGCGCAGAGCTTCGCCTCCAGTTCCTGCGTTGGGAGGTACAGGATCCCGAGGAAGTGGCTTTACTCTGCTCCGCCTTCACCGCAGTCGGTTCTCTTTCTGTTATTTCTTGGAATTGGGGCTAGCGAATTTGTCGTAGGAGATTTTAATTGGGATGCGATGCCAGAATGCCAGTTGACACCTCAACAGCCCTTCATTTTTTTGCATGTGTTCCTTCTACCACCTCGGCCATCGCTCAGCACCTCTCATTCGTCCCTCTTTCTTGATTGTGACTTGGTTTGGGTCCCTCGTGGAGTGAACTGTACACGTGCAACACAAGCAGCTGGTTGGGAGCCTGAGTAGCAGCTGTTGCTGGATTCCAGTGGAAGTAGCAGCTGTGCAACGCCACCCGGGGGGGGGGGGGGATGTTAGACGTGTACTTTTCCTTGGGGGTGCTTGGGAGATTTTAAACCTTTACCTTCAACGAACATTTTACAATGATGATCGACAGCTGCTCGCTGTCTATAATAGTGCCTGTAACTTGAGCCAGGGTCAATGGCTGAATTGTTCAAAGGGTTTGCCTTTTGCTTCCTCTCATCTAAAATTTGCACTTTTGGTACGTTCGGGCTCATGTGGACGCTTCCTATTCCCTGGGGGATGGGGGGGGCAAATGAAGGTTCCTTGAGCTTACATTCCATACCTGAAGAGGCAATGAAATTGGCCTTGTAGACGACCTTCGAGGGCCTTAAAACTGGAGACGCAGAGGGGCCCTGCCACACGTGTGTGCCTGGAAGTAGAAACTTAGCATTTCTGCTCCGCATTGTTTCCCCGGCGGGAGAAAAGAGAACGGGAACGCTTTTCAACAGTTGAGAGCCAGAGCTGGTTTCCTGTCTGACTGGGACATGGTGGGTTTGCTGTTGCCTGCAAATTGATGACACCGGAGATCCTTTGGATCATTGTAGAAGATCCCCAGTTGTCTGTAATCTCCACGTTTTGAGTGGGCTGAGTGGAATCATTTATTAGAAGTATCCTTTTGTCCCACAATGGGATGATATGACATGACGCACCAGGACAGAGGCCAATGGGGAAACTCTGGCTCCGAGGTGGGGCGGCGGCGGCTGCTGCTGCTGCTGATCTTGACTGCAGGGGGGCAGGCGACTGCTTGGCCTTTGCGGGCTTCGTCTCTTTTTCTCAGTGCTTTGTGTCTGCAATTACATTGATGTGAAAGCCAGGAGTCTCAGCGGGGCTTTGCTGCAGCTGTCCAGAAGAACGGGGCTCTCCAACTTTGGCAACTTTTAAGATGGTGGACTTCAACTCCCAGCGTAGCTGGCTGAGGAATTCTGGGAGTTGAAGTCCACGAGTTTTAAAGCCGCCCCGGTTGGAGAGCCCCGCAGAAGAAAATACAGCCCCTGAAGTGACAAGGTGGGGTCTGTGGCCCATCAAGGAAGCTCCACTTCGGAGGGGGCCAGGCTGCGGCTGCTGCAGCGGCTGCTGCGGCGGCTGCGGAAAGGCCCTTGGACCAGGCCTGCAAAAGGCAGCCTGCCTTCGAGCAGCGTTCTCCCCAGGCAAGGACCCAAGTCTGACCTGATTTTCACTACAATCATGGAAAAGATTCTACTAAGAGCACTTGAAAGAAATCTCTTCTCAGGAAAATGCAGAGGCAACCAAGGATGTGATTCAGTTTTACAGGGGGGTAAACTAATATTTCCTAAAATCTAATTTTGGGGGGCGGGGGGGTGTCTGTGCCTATCTGGGAAAAACGGGGGAAGGATTCACTCTTCGTGAAGGTGTCATCATGGAGCCAAGAGCGGCTCTGAGCTCCAATAGACAGTTTTTGAGTCCGGTCAGAGTGCGCCCCCTCCCTCCCCCCGAGACTTGAGCCTCTTGGGGGCTGTCATTGGGAACAGCTGGAAAGGAAGACTGCTCAGCTAGCCTTCGCGTAATCCAAACCAAATGGGAATTTGCACACTTCTGTACTGGTGGCTGTTCTGTGCCATTATCACATGGTGTTTTTTTTTTAAATTCCTGTTGTTGTTTTTTTTGAGTTTCAAATTCACTTTTCTAGTGTTTAAATTATGGAAATAAAAAATTTAAACAAATGTGCTGGTGGTTTTCTTTTTTTAAAGCTACCTTTGTTTAAACAATTCAAAAACATACAAAGCGAAAAGGAGAAATGTACAAACCAAAAAAAAAAGATAAACTATATCTATGTTCCAATTATTTTAATGTAAGCAAAACTGTTAGGTACACTAAACTGTGAGTGCAATCCTTTATGTTACGAAGCCTGAAGCCCCAAATTAACTTTAGCTGACAAGCAAACGATGCTTCTGTTAATACACCAGCTCTGCTTCAGCATAAATGGAAATGTCCCCTGTGGGTGGATGATATTTATGGGTCTGTTGCTGAGATTCCTGACTTTCTGGGAATAGATCCTGTTTAGTGAGTTTTATGTTCCTCATTTCTGTGTATTCGTCAATTGTGGTTTCTGTCCACCTCTTCTTTCCCCTCCATTTGGAAAAACATGTTTGTTTGGGGATTAGTAGCTCACAGCCTTAATTCCACCTCCATGTTACGGGGACAGTGGGTGGCCGATGGCTTAGCTTCAAGACTACCTTCGTAAGCATTGCTACTAACCTGATAGTTCTCTCCTCGTTGCAAAGTCCCAGCACAATTTCCGCAAACTTACAGAGCCCTTTGGCTATGGTCAGCTACCACAGAAATGATACCACGCGGACATGCCGGGCACCTCCCAGAAATCCTTGGCTGTGCAGTGGAGACAACCTTGTTTATTTAGCTGAACTGTTACACCAGGCGCAGAATCTAGAAAGGGCTGGGAGCAGATCTAGAATTTTGTAGCATCCTTTTTTCCAAGTGGAGGGGGAAGAGCGCTATAAAATTAATGCCCTGTGCAATTACTGGCAACATGACCTTAGCTGACCTCAGAAAAGGACACCGCCAAGAACCCCCCCCCCACTTATCAACTGAAGAAAAGCAAAGGCGAGCGGACCCCATGGGGCTGCTCAGCGGGGGACGCGGCCATAAAGCTGCTAGTCACCTGGCTCAGTTTGAGATGGGGGCTCATCACTGAGGCAGGTGTGCTTGTGTTTAAGGCCGCTGGGCAAACCAAAAGCCTTCGTGTTTCCTTGGAGTAAACCTTGAGATGTTGCTTCGGTCAAGAGGAGGATTAAGGGGAGGGTCCTGCCTCTACCTTCCTGCTAAAGCCAGAGAAACAAACCTGGGGTCCCGAGGTGGCCTCTCCCCCGGGGACACTGGAGCTGTGTCATTGTCTCAACCACCTTCCTTTCAGTTCAGATAGAACTTTGACTCAGTAAAGATGGACAGGTCAATTCTGAGTGCAGAAGAGATGGGAGGCCACCAGAAGAAAGTTCCCAAACCAGCCCCCCCCACACACACACACCTGAGAGAACAGACAGGGTGGGGCTGAAAAGGTGGCAGGTGCAGCCAAAACCTGGCTGGGATTCGGCGTCCTCGAGATGGAAGGGAGAGTTAATCTATGGCATGGAGGCCTTTTTCATTCGCTAACATACCACGTAGGATACATTCAAAAATGGATTTTCTAAGAGATGCTGGAGGATTAGATTAGATTGCCATAGACCAGAATTGGTAAAACAGAACAGCAAAAGCTTGTGTAGCGTCTTCATCTTCTTTTAGCTGGCAGAGTTGGAGGGAGCTTCTCTGGATAACCTCAAGGCTATGTGGAGGAGGTACAAGTATCCAGCTCGCAAAAGTCTAGGATACCTGAAAACCAAGAACGGCAGTATTAAAACGTCTCCAAGGGAAACGTGCCCACCCTGGCATCCGAGAGTGTCCCTCAACTTAACAAGGGCAGTGTTAAGCACACAGCAGATCAAGCAGACAAAATACATGGGTGCATCCTTTACATTTATCTCAAAATCTCAGCTACCTGGAAAAAGCATTTTATCAGAGTGCAGGGTTCAATTATCTGTGCTTCACCTGGCATCTAATTTCAATGCTTTCATTCAGGACCTCAGCTATTTTGGAGGGCAAGCCACACCGTCCCGGCATGGGATGGAAGATGACAGGGCCTGCTGGTCTTGCTGAGTCATGGGTGATAGGAGATCCTGCCTCAAAAAGGGTTCTTTTTCCTATTGCCTCCCACAGTTGAACAAAAGTATTTGTTAGACAAAATTATTCAGCCTTGCCAAGTATGAACTAGGAACTGTTAGGGACAGAACGGCTGGTTTCCAATTTTCCTGTCTGTCCGCAGAGGTTTCACGTTCACTGGCTCCAATTCCATTTAATTTAGGAACTCAAAGATCCTGTCGAGCTGTTTTTTTTTACTGATAAATATTTGTAGCTGTGGGTTAAACTTGGTGCTCTCTGAGCTTGGTTGCTTTCTTGCAGGTGCTTCATTACCCAAACTAACATCATCAGTACTAGTAGAACCCCTCAAGCTGTTTTAAAAAAGAAAAACCAGCTACGTTAGGCCTTAAAGCATAGAGTTAAGGTAAATGTGTTTAGTTTCTATTCTTATATAACATCCATAAATAGCCCAAGTACATAAACATTCGAATTTGTTTTGGGGTGAATGGCTTGACTTTCTTTTCTGGACGGAGCAAATCATAGCTGGCTGAGGAATTCTGGGAGCTGAAGTGCACAAGTCTTAAAAGTTGCCAAGTTTGGGGAGCCCTGTGAGATTTGATTCTCCTGGGCCCTTCTCAAAGCCCCTGGTGTCTTTCAATGCACCAACCATACACAGGCGGGAGAGAAAAGGGGAGACTCCGCTGAGGGCCCAGCCTGGCATTGGTCTCCTTCCCAAGGACAGCTTACCTGCAGAGGTGCAGCTGAAGACGGATTGGGCAAGCTGAAAGAAAGACTCTCCAAGAATCGACTTGAAGTCCACCTGGCCTGTGAAGACGAGGCCTTGAGTAGCGTCTTTAAAGAGCAGGTCGCTTCCTCCGTATCTCAGCGACTCAAAGAGCTGAAAACCACTTGTCTTGCTTGATTCCTGGAAGGGAAGAGGCCAAACTGGAGAGCAGGGACTGCGAGTCATACCGGTGGGGGGGGGGGGGGGGGGGGAAGAGAGGAGGTGAACAGGTGGACTGCATGGGATGTTGTCCTAGTGGTCGTTCTGCTGCTTGCTTCGCATTGCATCTTTTGCCAGCTTGACACCAGCAATGGCGGGAGGGGGAGAGATTGGAATATGGGGGGGTCTGGGAGGGGGGGCATTGGGTTTGAAGCAGACTCTGGGGAGCCCCAACCCAGTACGAGAGCAGCCGAAGGAATGTGGAGACGGGAAAGGCGTGATCGAAGGCAGGGTCCTTTTCCAAAACAACCTGAGAACTTTTAATTGGACATTGATTGATAGTGGGGGGGAGGGGTGGACAGGGAAAAGGGGGGAATTAATTGCATTAATTGATTTTGGGGCCAAGGCAACAGATCCTTCCCGTCTCATCTGTAACCGCTCTGTTCTCAGCAAAGGCTACTCTTGGGAAAAGGAATGAGCCAGGAGTCGGTCTTCTTTGCTACTTGAACTAAGTGCGATGGAGGACAGATGTCCTGATCATTGCAATTTGTGTACTCAATAGTCACAACTTCTACGCAATGAAATCAGTGTGTGCGTGTGTGTGTGTGTGTGTGTGTGTGTGTGTATTGTCATTTCAGCATCACTGAATTGCAAGCACTACAGGTTATTCTTGACTTAAAACCATCCATTTAACAACAGTTCAAAGTTAACGACAGCACTGAAAAAAGTGACGTGTGATCTGTCTTCAAAGTTACGACTGCTGCGTCCCCCACAGTCGCACGGTTGCAATTTGGGCCCTTGCTAAGCAACTTGCATTTATGGTTGCAGCCTCCTGCAGTCACACAGTTGCCATTTGCGACCTTCCCAGCCAGCTTCCAACAAGCCAAGTCAACAGGGGTAGCCAGATTCCCTTAATGACCACTTAAGGGAAACACAATTTGCTTAACAATAATGGTGATTTAGTTAATGACCCAGATAAATATGATTGCAAAATCAGGTCCTCTCATGTGATGACTAGATTAACAACCATAACTCCCTAGTGTCTGAAATTCCAGTCCCAATTGGGGTCGTAAGCTGAGGACTCTCTGTATACCCAACTATTTTCCTTTTTTCTTTGTTTGCAGTTGAGGTGCCCAGTTAGAGTCCTTCAAAATGTTTATTAAAACAGTTACATCCATAAGACTAAATATTTGCTCTGCTTGGAAATACATGTGGGAAGAATGAAAAGTGGCCAACTCTGAGCAGGTCTTTCCACAACTGGGGTGCCAATAGTGCGAACTCCTGACTCTCTCCGGATGCTGTCCCTGGAAAAGAGGAGCCAGCCGACGGCTGGGAGCCCTGGGCCAGGGACCCCTGCAAGCATCCAAGCCTCCACCTCATTGGAAGTGGACTTTCTGGCTCTCCTCCAATCCGATGCCGCAGCCAGGGTGGATCCCAAAGACTGGCTGCCTCTCACGGGGATGATGAGAGAGAACTAAGGCTAAAACTTTGATTCTTTTTGTTAGTTCTCATTGTTTTTATTTTTTGTTTTAAATATGATTTTACATTGTGTAAGCCGCCTTGAGTCACCATGGGCGAATAGGTGGCAATATAAATTAAATCAATTAATCAATCAAATACATACATACATACATACATACATACATACATACATACAATGAACGGTTGCAGGAACTGGGCCTAGCTAGTCTAGGGAAGAGAAGGACCAGGGGAGACAGGAGAGCATCTTCCAGTATTTGAGGGGCTGCCCCATAGAGGAGGAAGAAGGGGGTCAAGCTATTCTCCAAGGCACCCAAAGGCCAGACAAGGAATAATGGATGGAAACTGAACAAGGAGAGATTTGACCTGGAAATAAGGAGAAACTTTCTGACAGAACAATCAACCAATGGAACAGAAGTTGCCTTCAGAAGTTGTGGGAGCTTCATCACTGGAACTTTTCAAGAAGAGACTGGACTGCCATCTGTCAGAAATGGTGTAGGGACTCCTGTTTGGGTGGGGGGTTTGGACTAGGTGACCTCCAAGGTCCTTTCCAACTCTGTTAATGTGAATCTATCTAAGATGATCAAAGGTCTGGAGACTAAAATATGTGAAGAATAGTTTCAGGAACTGGGCCTGGCTAGTCTAGGGAAGAGAAGGACCGGGGAGACATGATAGCAGTCTTCCAATATTTGAGGGGCTGCCACAGAGAGGAGGAAGGGGGTCAAGCTATTTTCCATGGTACCTGAATAATGCCAGACAAGGAATAATGGATGAAAACCGAACAAGGAGAGATTCAACCTGGACATGAGGAGTTTTCTGACATTGAATACAATCCATCCATGGAACAGAAGTTGCCTTCAGAAGTTGTGGGAGCTTCATCACTAGAGGCTTCCAAGAAGAGACTGGACTACCATTAGATGACCTGCAAGGTCCCTTCCAACTCTGTTAATCTGTATGTATATACACTGAATTAACTCTTCCCCCAAGACGATGCACTTGAAGGAAATAAAATTGCAGGAAGATGAACAGATCTGCAGGCAGACGTTCTCCCTTCCTGTTCTGACACATGATAATACTGACACGCCTTCAAGCGTCAGCTGTCAAGCTTACCTGGGACTTTGCCAGGAAATCCTGGATCTTAGTGACAGTCACCGGCCGGGTCACCACAACGCTGGGAGGAACAGCGCCCAGGTTGCAGGTCCTCCAATTGGTTATGGGTGCTCGGCTCCCATCTGGGCAAAGGAGTCCAAAATCCCCGGGAGAGCAGCCAGCGGCCCATCCCGAGCTATTCAGATCTGCAAGGAACAAAGTGACCGACTTGAGCTATTTAGCATCGCAACGTTTTCTGCGAATCTCCCCAAATAGCGATATATGATCATTGCTGATTTTCTGAGCGCTGAACTTGAAGGACAGAAAAGGTTCCTAGCCAAAAATCAATCGAGGTTTGGTTGGGGAGGAAAAAAGCAGAAATGGTGAATCCGAAGAGCAGCTCCATGGAGGGAAGAGACCTCCAGAGTCAAAGGCGGATTCCCTCAGTTTCTGAGTCTGCAGCTCCTCTTGTTAGCGTCCATTCTAAGCCAATGTCTCCCCGTCTAACTGGATGCTTGCTGGCTTCGTGCTTGTGGATTTGCAAGTGTGCATCTTTTTGCTGTGACCGTCCCTGGTGCTGTTGCTGGCTACACGTCCGGAGGCCCCACAGTAAAAGCCCAGCCCCTCCTCTCCTCTTCTTGTTTTCTCTCCTGGCTGCTCCAACTTGCAGGGGTTCTGCCATCCAACAAGCTCATTGGGAAAGGAGAAGACAGACTATAGCTTCCTTTTTCTCCCCTGCCTCAACTCTTCCATTTGGGCATCTGTAATGAAGCTCTTTGGTAGAGCCGGCTGGGGAATTCTGGGAGTTGAAGTTCACAAGTCCTTCAGTTTCCAAGGTTTGACACAGAGGTGGGATTCAGCTGGTTCTGGCCAGTTCTGGAGAACCGGTAGCGGAAATTCTGAGTAGTTTGGAGAACCGGCCAATCCCACCTCTGACTGGTACCGCCAACCCCATCTCTTCTCCGCCCCTCATTGAGTCTCAGCTGATCGGCTGGGTCTCCTTTGGTTGCCCTGCCCAGGAGAACGGAGCTGGAAAGCAGGTTAGTGGGGTGCGGAGGGAAGGGGGATTTTGCAGTATCCTTCCTCTGCCACGCCCACCCACACCCACAGAACCAGTAGTAAACATTATTGAATCCCACCACTGGTTTGACACCCTCGGCTATAACATCTGGAGGAAATTTAACCTGAAGATTATCATGGCGATTTACCAAAAGCTGAAAAGATAACAGAAAATACCTTACATTCAATGTTCTGAAGTAGGTTATGATGTTCCAAGAGAGCCACATCACCGAAGCTTCTCCCAGTGGGGTCACCCAAGAGGCACCTGGAAGATTAAAAAAAGCTGTGCCAAAATGAGCTTGTATCCAAAGGAATTTTGTAAACCCACACAAAATCGCAAGTCCCAAAGTCAGGTCCCTCCTAGCCCTTAAGGCCTGGCCCCATAGTAATATTTTACTCAGAAGAGAAGCTTTTTCTCCAGGGTGGCTCACCTGAGGGCCCCCAGGTTGCCATAGTACCGTTCGTGATGATTAGCGGCACACCTGGAGGACGCCTTGACTCTCCCCTCTTGTCCAATGCACACTTTGCAGAGGTTTCCACTGGCTCCTGGCATGCAGCCTTTCCAAAAAAATTTCTGGTATGCTTTGAGAGAAGCGGAAAGGGCAGCGGTTACTCAGCAGGATTATGCAACGCTGCTTTTTCCCACGGCACGGCCAGCCAATGTGGGCAGCACTACTAAATAGAAAAAGGTGAACTTTGGCGTTCTGTATTAACATACCCCAAATACTGACTTCTGATTGGTCCACACGTACAGCATTATGATTGGTCAACTAAACGGCAGTGATTGGTTCGCTAGGAATCAACCGTGACTGGCCGAGCCAATCGCGGGAGATTCAAGGACCTGTCATTGGCCGGCGAGCCGCGAGCAATCCCTATATGAAGGGCTGCCGCAGCTCCAAGATCTTGTACAGATCTATACATGAAATAAAGAGGTTGAAGTACACTGGTCTCACGTCTCTTTCGTACCCGATCTAACATTTGGTTTCTCAGAATATTAGCAGGAGGGGGCTTTCCCCAGTCTCCTGATTACAGTGCAAAATCAGGGAGGGATGCAGGCAGCAAGCAGGAAAGCATCATTGCCACCATTTGGGTAACTGCTCAAGCGCCTCTAGGTGTGCAGGCAGCATAACCTCTGCCGAGCAGCAGCTGAAGAACAAGAATGGGGGAACCAGAAGCTCTCCCCCCTTCCCCCCCCCCAATGTTCATGAAGTCTAATGTTAGATTTAAGTGTAGTACACAAAATTATCTGCTACAATCGGGGGTGGGATTCAAATTTTTTAACAACCGGTTCTGTGAATGTGGCTTAGGTGATGGGCGTGGCTTGGTGGTCATCTTATTGGCTGGGTGTGGCCAACTCAATATCACTCACATCGAGGCACGCATCTCCTCGCCTGGCCTCTCGTGACTGTGGGGATTCTGCAACAGCCGTAAGTGTGAAAAACGGTCATAAGTCACTTTTTTCAGTGCCATTGTAATTTTGAATGGTCACTCCACACAAGCGAAGTACCAGCAAAGGAGGGAAAAATAACTCCAGAGAAGTTCTTGAGACAGAAAGTCTAGTCCTGCCAAGCATGTAATAAGGGTTAACGGAGAGGCAGTTTCTGTAAGCAACACCAGAATGTTTCCTTCCTGCCTTCCTTACAGGATTAGGCCGGGAATTTCTTCTAACAACCGGTTCTCCGAACTGCTTGGAATGTTAACAACGGGTTCTAGTGGATAGGTGCGAACCTGTAGAATCCGACCCCTGGCTATAATGTCCTACCAGTCAATGACTACTTCAGCTTCAACCACAACAATTACAAGAGCACACAGCAGATACAAACTCAAAAACCACTTCAAACTCGACTGCAGAAAGTACGACTTCAGCAACAGAGTGGTCAATGTGTGGAATGAGCTACCTGACTCTGTGGTTACATGCTCTAAGCCCCCCACTCCTTTAACCTCAAACGATCCACTATTGACCTCACCCGCTTCCTAAGAAGTCTGTAAGGGGTATGTGTAAGCACACCATCGTGCCTACCGTCCCGGTCCCCATTTATTCATACCTATTTCCTGTATTCTTACTCATGTTTATACTTTTACCTAAGATCTTGTAAGAGATTGACAAATCAAATAAATCAAATAAATCAAAATTAAATTAAATGAACCTTCCAGATGCCGCTGCTCCGCCACTGACTGGGAGGCACAAAATGCTGGAGTACAGGGCTTGCAACCTTTACTGTACAGGGAGTCCTCGCTTAGCAACTGCAGTTTGGGACCAACAACTCAGATGCTAAGCACTGTGGTCACTAAGCAGAAAATAATGTGAGTGTTCATGACCTTACTTCCCCTTTAGTCCTTAAGCAAGGTGCCAGGGTTACCAATTTGACTTTCGCAGCTGTTTGTTGCAAGCCAATTGCAAAGCACCAAACGGCCATCGCGCGGCCACAAGATGTGGCAACAGTCGTAAATGCAAGGATTGGTCACAAAGCTATTTTACACCGCTGTAACCTTGAACGGTCACTAAATGAGGTAATCGGTAAGCGAACCATACCACTACCCCAAACAGACCCTGTGCGTAATCTGGGGGTTCTCCTGGACTCACGACTCCTGTTTGAAGAGCAGGTGGCAGTCGTGGCCAGGAGGGCCTTTGCGCAACTGCGGGTTGTGCACCAGTTACGCCCTTTCTTGGACCAACAGTCCTTACTCACAGTCACTCATGCCCTGGTCACTTCCCATCTTGATTAGTGCAACACGCTCAACATGGGGCTGCCCTTGAAGAGCATCTGGAAGCTCCAGTTGGTGCAAAATGCAGCATGGTTTTGTGCAGACCCTGGTGTGCACATGTATTACCCCTCCTGTGGGAGCTGCATTGGTTGCTGATTTGCTTTCGGCTGCAATTCAAGATGTTGGTTGTCCCCTTTAAAGCCCTTCATGGCTTGGGACCAGGTGATCTGAGAGAACGTCTCCTGCCTGTCACATCCACCCAACCCGTCAGAGCAGGGAGGCAGGGAATGTTACAGGTCCCACCCCCGAGGGAGATACACCTGGGGGGACCCAGAAGAAGGGCCTTCTCCGTGGTGGCTCCCTCTCTCTGGAACATCACTGGCCCAGAGATTAGAATGGCCCCCACTCTCTCTCTCTTCTGAAAGGCACTGAAGACCTGGTTCTGCCAGCGGGCCTGGGGAACCCAGAGAGGGATGGAGACCATCAGGTGGCTAGTGTGACCTGCTGTTGTCAGGGAGGGGGATGGCAGTGGGTTTTTGATTTTTTTTGTTTTTGTTTTTCCCAAATTTTGTTCTATTGTACTTTGCTAATTTATTTGATATTTTTGCTAGTTTTTATTGTTTTTATTTTTTGTTTTAAATATGATTTTACATTGTGTAAGCCGCCCCGAGTCGCCACGGGCAAATAGGCAGCAATATAAATAAAATAAAATAAAATAAAATAAAATAAAATAAAATAAAATAAAATAAATAAAATAAAATAAAATAAAATAAAATAAAATAAATAAATGTTATTCCTCCCCTCCCACCAACAACAACTGAGCCAACTATTTTTAAATGTCAGCTCTTGGGTGTTATGGGTTTGACAGGCTGAAAAGCCTCAGATGACTGCTCCGTTTGAGCCTCAGGAATCAGAGATATTCTGTAAAGTGGCCAGTCTAGTTCGGAAATCCGTAATCAGAAACACAGCAAGATCTTTTGCCGGATCTGCCCAGGCGGTTAAAGATGAAGCACAACATGAGCAAAACAGGCACCCAGGCTGGTAATCTTCTTAGAAGGTTATTTTAAAAAGAGACGGGATGGAGGACAGATCCATTCAGAGCTCCTGGCCCTGAAGACTCAATGGGTCGGGGAGCAGTAGACCCCCAACCACCAGCTGCAGGGAAGAAGACTGAGGGAGGAATGTTCCAGTTTCCTCTTTGTAGCCACGCTGGACTTGGGAGAAGCAAACTGGGGGACTAAGAGGGCTTTGCTGAAATCAAGCAGATCTGTTCATAGGAAGAAGATCTGTTGGGAAGCTCATCTCAAAATCTGTTCCGTATCTCAAGTCCACCAGGTAGCAATAGCAATAACACTTAGACTTATATACCGCTTTATCGTGCTTTGCAGCCCTCTCTTACGTAGTTTTACAGTCGTCATATTGCCCCCAACAATTTGGGTCCTCATTTTACCCACCTTGGAAGGGTGGAAGGCTGAGTCAACCTTGAGCCTGGTGAGATTTGAACTGCCAAATTGCAGGCAGCCAGCAGCCAGCGGAAGGAGCCTGCAATACTGCACTCTAACCACTGCGTCACTGAGGCAGATTCTGCCTCCTTGAGCTCCTGTTGTGCGTACTGTGGATCCTGAATCCTTCGACCCCAATTCTGACACCTTCAAAATGTCTTATTCCTACCCACCACGAAGCTCTCTTTGCTAGGCAGATGGGAAGGCTTACCAGAGGTGAGGTTGCAGGTGCTGCTGCCATTCTCCAGGGCCCCAACAGTGTACTGTGAAAGCAGCAGCCACCCACCTGGGCTGTACACATGGCTGTGGCAGGAGCGCTTTCCCCTCAGGGAGTATCGGCTTACTTGCTGGTTGGCCTTTCTTACCAGGACTACGAAGTAGAGTGGAGGAAGACCTGTGTGGCGAAAGCACACCGTTAATTAAAATAGCCTTAATCTTCTTGAGTTGATTCTCTGTTTGGGTCCATCTGGTGGGGCTATTTTGCAACTCCTGTAAGGACTTGCCTTTCCTAACTCAAGAAAGTAAAAACTCTTGAAATTGAGTATTTCAAAAGGAACCTTTTATTGAGCAGAAGTGAAAACAGGACAAAGGCAAAGCAGACTCTAAACCCCTTTAGGCAGTACAATTAGACTTAAGGCATTAGAAATCCTTCCCGCCAGTCCAATGTGGATTCAGCCAATCCACAGATGTGCAGATGTTATTGTAACGGCTGTCCTGAGAACCAGATAAGCAGGCATTCCCAGGGTCATCTTCTGATGGCTTTCAGAGTGAAACAACCCACATGGCCCTCCCCCCTAATACATTCCCCCAAAGGTGAGAAAATCCCAGGGCACTCAAGCGCCAGGATAAATGCTACAGAATAGCAGTTGTCAGAGGCAATAAGGAAGAATGACATTCAAGGTCCCCCCCTTCTCCCAATTGAATGGCAGTATCACTTTAGGGGTCTGACATCTCCCTAGCACTTTACCTGCTTTTACTGAAGTGATAAGCAAGGCTGTTTGCGTATTGCTTTAGAACAGCGATAGTTGATAGTTTTGTAACTCTAGAAAGTGCTTTCAGTTGCCATGACCATCGCTGTTGCACAGGGCAGCTCTGCTAGTGGCAGAAGAGGACAGAGAAACGCCGTGTGGCCTGAGCTCTCTCAAAACAAACCGCACTGTTTTTCCACATATCACATTTACCGCTGTTCATTTTATTTCATTCAGGGAACGTTACTTGTCAGTTGTAAATAAAAGGAGCATAAAGAAAACATACCTCTGAAATCAGTAACAAGCAATTAAAACAATACTTAAAAAAAAAAGAACTAGACTAGGAAGTCTTTTAAAACTCTACAAAGTGCAAACGGACATTGATGCCGTGATCTGAAGAAGAAGAGTCTTTGTGGGGAGACAGAGACTGGATCTTCCATATGCCCTCTCCTTCGAGGTGGCATCCCGTGAGGCCTTCTTGGTGGCTCAGATAAACAACTATTTAGCACAGAGTAGACTTTCCGCTGCTGGCCATTAAATGCTATTTTGCTCAATTATAAATATGTCAGTCTGCCTATAGCAAGAGAGCATTAGATCAGGACAAACCATGTGCCAAAGCACTGCTGGAGGTACAGCACGCACAGCACCTCCTCTGTTTATGCTCACTCCCACTTACCCCCAGTGTGGCTCCGCAGGTCCGGTTCCTCCCTTGTGGAAGAAGCACATTCTTCTCCTGTGGAGAAGAGACAGAAGGCTGAAGAGCCACTCGCTCTCCAGGGCTCCCCAGACAGGAGCAGTGGGTTAAAAAAACGACGTCACGAGTTTGCGCTCAGGAAGGAAATGCCCTTCTCCCTCACATATGAGAGATGCACAATGACTGGGCTGAGACCTTCTGGCCCAGGATTTCAGCACTCCGGCCTCACGGTGAGACCTCCTGCCTCTCTCATTTAGAAGAAGCCGCCTGTGACAAAACATAGTTGCTGCGTAGCCGCTTTGTGTTACACTTCGCATCCTTTCCAGCCAATCTTCCCTTTCATGCCTCGTCTTTTTAGTTTGTAAGCACAATGGCGACCGTCCTACCCACCCCACCTCTAAGCTGACGCTGTCTTTCTAAACGATGCTTTGAAAGATTAAACATTTGGGGTGGTCATCCAGATAGTTGCTCCTCAAGAGCTTCCCAGGTGGGCTTCTTCCCATCGCCTGGACCATGCTGCTTCCAAGGGCATACCTGGCGTTTCATTTTTCTACGTAGGGTTGCAGTGAGAATCAAACCTTACCGTAACACTCTGCGGCCACAGGGGCGAGTGCGCAGGTCTCCGCAAAGTATGCATGGGTGGCATCCAGCGTGACAGCATCTGCCTCGTTTTTCTGTCGTGTGAAGAACCACTTGGTTAGCTGCAAGACGCCTGCCCCTTTTCAGAGGAATAGCTGTTCTTGCAAGATGGGATGGTCTGGTTGGGACCATGGCCTTTTCCAGCCAGATTTGAGTAAGAAAATAATGGTTCTCAGAAAGTGAAATGGGAAGCCAAACTTGCAAGCAGAATCTTAGAACGCCACGTCCTTTCTGGGCAGAATTTGTACATTATTTTAAGCCATGGTTTACCTAAGCATGATTTATTTAAATAAACCACAATTGGCTGGGTTCACAAAACATGCAGAACCATAACTCACCGTTCACAAGCCATAACTGTTGGACTAATATTATGCCATGCCTCAAACAAATCCCCCGGCAGCTTTGTGCAGAGGGCCACGTTCCCCAAGGACCGCTCTTTCTGGCTTGCTGAGCTCCCCAGATATGGCCACTGAATAAAGAAGCTGTTTCCGCCATGTTGGTGTGGAAGGTACAAGTTGTGTGAGACATAAAATAAGTATCCACTGAAAAACAAAAAGGGCCTCCAACTTCACTCTTCCCAAACCAGCTCTGCCCGTATGTCTGACGCAGTTCCACCCAGTAGGTTCTACACTGACTTAGTGCCAGGCATGCATCAAACGTTTCACCTTCTCCCTCGGCCTACCTCTGCTTGGCTACTGGAACCAGGTTTCTGCTTGTAAAATCCCCAGGGCCGAAAGCAATATACAGATGATACAACAGTGGTGGGACTCATCTCCGGGGGGGGATGAGTCTGCCTACTGAGATGAGGTGGACCAATGGTTGCTTTGGTAGTGTGGAGACAATAACTTGGTCCTCAACACCAATAAGACCAAGGAGCCTATAGTGGACTATAGAAGGAACAGATCAGACCTCCAGCCCTGGCTTATCCATGGAGACCGAGCGGAGCAAGGGACCAGTTTTAAGTTTCTGGGTGTTACCCTAAAAGAGGACCTGACCTGGGATGCTCACATTACAGCCCTGGCCAAAAGGGCCCAGCAGAGATTATACTACTTGAGGCTTCTTAGGAAACAACTGAATGAAAAATGGCTGGTGACCTTCTACTGCTGCACCATAGAGAGCATTTTAACTTACTGCACCTCTGTATGGTTTACCAATTGCACAGGGACAGATAGGAAAGCACTCCAGAGGGTGAACCTCATTGTCTAGAGGATCCTGGGTTGCCCTCTCCCCTCTTTGGAAGAGCTTTAGAGCTCCCGCTGCCTTAAGAAAGTTCAAAACTTTCTCAAAGATCCATCTCATCCTGGGAACCCTTTTTTGCACTATTACCATCAGGCTGACGGTACAGAATAATAAAAACAAGAACAAATAGGCTGAAAAACAGTTTCTATCCCAGAGCAGTAGCTCTGTTGAATTCTACTGCGTAGTGCAGTGTTAGTGCGGTATTGGGGGTTTTCGGTTCAATGTGCGGAGGGTGAAGGATGTGAGTTTGTGTTTATTTTCATGCTCAGCGCATCTTCAGCGTGCACTGAAGATGGTGTTTGATTTCGTTGTACAAGGTGCAATGGCAATCAAGTAAACTAAACACGGTGAGCAGGTGCTTATCACTCAACAGCCACAACTCACTGCACGACCGGATCAACTACCCCTAGCAGCGTCCTGTGAGCCAGTCTCTCAGGTACCGGGGGGGCGGGTCAGAGTTCCAATCCTATGAATAGGATCTGGTCCAGTGATGGCTAACCTTTTCGTCATGTGCTGAAAGTGCGCACGTGCCTGCACCCATAATGAAATGCAATGCGCATGCGACTCTGCCTCCCTACACATGCGTGTGCGACCCCACTGTGCCTCTGCGCATGCACGCGCCCCTCTCACACACGCCCCTCCCCCCGCGCATGCGCAGCAGATACCCGACAATCAGCTGGCTGGTGGGAGGCACGTGTGCATGCGCAGTGGACCTGATCCGGGGTGACAGCTTGCGTGACAGCAGAGATGGCTCTGCGTGCCACTTCTGGCACATGTGCCATAGGTTCACCATCACGGATCTAGTCTGAGTCCAGAGGTATCCCTCACACGCCTACTCCATGCAGCTTTGATAAAAAGCCCTACATGGCTTGGGACCAGGTTGTCTTTTCCCGGTCATGTCTGCCCAACCCACTAGAGTGGAGAAGCAGCGAATGTGAGGAGTCCCCTGCCCCTTCCCCTTTAGGGGGACCAGGAAGAAGGGCCTTCTCTATGGGGGCTCCCTCCCGGTTGGACATCATCCAATTGGCCCCCAATTTGACACTCCTTTGCAAAGACCTGAAGATGTGGTTGCAACAGTGTGTCAGGGTTCCAACGGATGCCCTAATTAATTCATCAGCCTTGAGCCAAGTTTCAAAAGAAATTCAATTATTTATTAGGAGCAACTTGTTGGCACTTTCCCAAGTGCAGTCGGCTCTGCCCCACATAATTGACTGCCCGCCAATGACCCTGTTTTCCACCCTTCTCCCAGGGTATGTCATAAATCATGTTATCCAATGGAGCACTTTCACAGGCTGTAGGACACACACCTCCCCAGCTTGCTCCGGTAACCTGGGATACAATCTGGAGAAAGGTATGCGTGGAATGTGCTTCTGGTCACAGCAACTGAGCTGCTCCATCAGTTTTCCACCCCCCACCCCACCCCCACTGCCTATGGCAACTCAAAAGCAGGCCAGGAATGTTTTACGAGCTGACACAGTAGGCCTGGAGACCCCAGGATATTAGGGAGACCATCAAGTTGCTCGTTATTGTCACCAGGGGAGTGGTGGGGTTACTGCTTTTTGTACTGGGGTCTTATTCTTTGTAAGCTGCCCAGAGTCACTTAGAGTGAGTTGGGCCACCATATCAATTTTATTAAATAAATAAATCAACATTATCGCCAGTCTGATGACGGACATGGCACAAGAAGAAGAAGAAGAAATAAACAAAACAAAATGGCGGGGGTGGGTGGGGAAGCCCAGTAATTTCTTTAGGACATGTTAGGCCCTCCTTCTGTTGGGGAACGGCTTGGAACTCTCCCTCCCGCCTCCGTTTTGACCCGTTTTTCTCACAGGACATCGTGTGTCTTGAAGAAACCACTCACCTTGATGAGCTCAAGGCAGCCCATCATGGAGTCTGCTTGGACACAGACCAGGGGGTCGGACCTGACATTCAGAGCCCACTCCTCACATTTACGGAGCTCCAGGTCACTGATACAGCACCAGCGCACTAGGCTGTTGGACAGAGAGCTCCCTGGGGAGGCAGGAAAAGACAATCAGAGGTGGGCGGAGAAGCTGCCCTGCCCAGGTGCTGGAGAATGCGCCTTCCCTCACCTTCGTGTCCCAAACCCTGCAGGAGGGTGACGTAGTCCAGGCCAAGAACCTGGCTGATCTCCGTCTCTTCTCCCAGCAGCTGCAGGTGCTGAGTGGCATCAAGGAACAGCAGGTCCCTCCCTCTGAATGGCGCAGACGCAAAGAGCTCAAACCTGGCCTTTTCTTTTCCGCTGCTTCCAAACAGGTGCTAAGAACCAAAGACAGCGATCACAAGTCCTCGCACCCAGGCAGCAAGCAGGCCCTACCCAGGGCAGGGGACAGGGGTGCATCTGCCAAGGACCAGACCGTCTGCAAGCCCCCTGGACCGCCAACAATGCGATTTTCATGGAGGAGCTCACCTGATGGCCAAGACCAGCAGCAAGGAGACGAAAAGGGATTTAATTTAACTGTGACGGAATCATCTCTCAAATAGGACATATGCCCAACCACCCTCAGGTTGCCCCCAAAACTATGGGTTTTTTTTCCCTAGCTACATTGCCACCTGGTTCTGGGCAGCTGGGACTTCTGTGTGCTACTCAGGGCTTTGTCTTTCAAAAATCTGCTTCCGGGAGCTTGGCTTGAGGATGCTCCAGGAAGCAGCACAGGAAGGATGGCATGGTGATCTGCGTGATCTGGGCCGGCAGCAAAGACTTTTGACAACATCCCCACAGCAGCTGGAGTTTGCCACTGCCGGGCTATCAGCCACCCACGGTTACACCTCCTCTTTTCCTGCCAGCAGGAGAGTACACAGCACATGCTTTTGGCAGAGATCTTTTAGCCCGGTTGCCAGTTACAATAACAGGCTAACTAAACTAGGTCAAGGCAAACAAAGGCCTGCATTTATGTCCTATTGCACCGGAAGGACACATGTCTCGTTTAGCTTAGTTTGTTTTAAGCCAGAATTTCTTAAGAACCTTCTAAAATAAAACTAAGTTGTAACGTATTTCTCCTTCTACCCAGCTACGAGGAGGGAGTGAGGAGGAAGAATCCTTGGGCCCTCCGGCTCAGTTTATTATTTGTTAAATTTATTTGCTGTCTATCTTGCCCTGGGGCTACTCTAGGTGGCTTACAACAGTAAAAACAAAGAAATGACAAGAAGTGTAAAAGCAACAGCGGTAAAATATTGAAACAGCAAAATAAACCATGAAAATATGATAATGAGATTAAAAGATAGGTGGGAGGGAAGCAGAGAAAATGTGGGAGTGGGGTTTGTTGTCAGTCTAGCAGCCACCCCGCTCCCGTTCTTAATTCTGGATCCTGGCTTAACATCTTATATCAATCCCAGCGTGTTTTGCCTCCCTCGGAGCCCGATTTCTTCCTCCTTCACAGTCACATCCTTTCAAGAGCCTTTCAGCTGACGTGTACTTCCCGAAGGAAGCGCCCTTTCCCCAGGGGGCAGTGAGGCTGCTCGGAGATATCTGGAATTGCAAGAGGAGAAGCATCCTACAAAGCTTCCTAAGGATATAATCCACCCAGTGGGTGCGATCGAGGAAGGAAGACCCAGCCAACCCCGAGGTCTCCTGTAAAACCTTGGGGAAAACACCTGATTATTTGGGAGCCAGGGCAAAGGTGTTGAAGAGTCACTTCCATCAGCTAAGCAACAGGAAAACAAATTTGCCTCAAACCCTTGGAGGGAGAGACGATGCAAACCAGCCTTTCAGCCTTAGCAAGAGGCTGGAGATACCTGGACTTCGATGCCCGGAGTTCCCAGCTGGTATGCGAATGGACCTCAGGCACCAGCCCCAAATCATCGCCCTTCTTGAGAATCAGAACATGTACCTGTTTGCCAGGAGATACCTGAATGACCTTGAGAAATTTCTTCGCTGTCCTCTGCAAGTTGCGGCGTGTGACAATTGCGCGGCCTGGTCCGCTGCCCAGGTTGCAAGTAGAGTAGGCCATCAAAGGCGCAGTGGATCCATCAGGACACAACAGCTCGTACTCTTCCCGTTCCCAGTCTTGGCAAGAGGAAAAAAAGGGTTTCGGAAGCTGGAGCCGGAGCCCCCATCTCTGCCCCCCGCCGCAGGACAGAAGGACCACAGCTTGCTCGGCTACTAAGAGGGCAAAACAACTGGCTTGGTCCTGGGTGCAGGGAGGAGAAAGTGCCTGGCCTTTTCAACAGAGAATGGCTTCTGAGATTCTTGGCGCGGCTTCCTGACCAGTCTTCTTATCAAGAAGAGAGATTTAGGTTGAAGATAAAAGATCACCTTATGGCCGTGAAAAAGACACTGTGTGCAGATCTTGGAAGGAAGGGAGGGAGGGGGGATTGGCAAATGACTATCCTTTCATAAGGCGTAAAGTCGTGGCTGTGCCAGTCGGCTTGGGGCCCCAGTGGGGGATCAGCGCAATGGGGGTGGTTGATTGAGTAACAACAGATCCCACCCATGCTGCCCACACCCTCCCCAGGTGTCCTTGGTTTCAATGTCTTTTTATGTTTTAACTGTATGTGTAACTATAAGCCACCTAGAGTTACCCTATGGTAAGATAGGTGGCCAATAAATTTTATAAATAAATTTTGTATAAATCAATCAATAATACAAGAGAAGAGGGTGAAGTTTGATCTCAACGCTGCAGGGTCCATTTTAATCAACTGCATAAGTCAGGCACCGTCCCGGGCCAAAAGTTTACCTGTAGCACTCATGACTGTGAGGTGATCCACAAAAGCCACCTCTGCCAGCCCCAGCTTCAGGCACCTGCGCAGATGAAAGGGAGGTCAGTAGATGAGCCTCTCTGCCTTGCTTCTAACGTCATTGTGACGAAGCACCTGAGTGAGCCCAAGAGCACCTGAAGGCGCCCTCTGAGCCGTAGAAGGGTTCACGAGGGCTGGCCTCGCAGAAATGGTTCTTGTCCCAGATGTACGACTTCGGCCCTTGGCAGAGAGCACACAGCTTGGGATAGGTAGCTTCGATGCCAGGGATGCAACTGGCATTGAAATAACCACTGATCGCTGGCAACAGAAGAAGAACGGAATGAAAAGCGGGTATGCATGAAGGTATGCAAGCATATGTTTTCATGGAGGAGAGCCCAAACTACTGGGATTTGTGGACTTATTTCAACAACGTGTACCTGAGGTTGCATGTTAAGGACCAGCCTACATAAACAATTTATCCAGAGTTGTCTGACTAACGCATGAGGCACACAACACACTGTGGCGCAATTCATTGTTTTGATGCTATGTTCCCTAAATAGCCCGTCTGTCAGGCTCCCAAACCCATGCTGAGTTACTTCAAAGAACAGGTGACATGGCATCCAACTGTTTATAAAATATTATAGTGCTGAAGTCCCTCCAGCTACCTATTCTAAAAAATGCTGGCATTTTTGTCCAAAATCTCAATTTAACCATCTGTGAGATTTTGAGTATGTTATTTCTTTATTTTATTTTGCCATCTCCACCAAATACTCTCACACTGTTAGGCAATGACCGGTTTACGGTATGGTGTATTGTATGAACCCAGCCATAGTGTGAATGTCACAAACTGCGAGGCCTCCTTATGGCATTATGGAATAATCAAATCTGTTCAGGCAATGGTCATTCCCAATGGCAATGGTCAGACACAATTACAGCATGAGACTGAATATGATATGATGTGATTCAGCCATTGTCAGGAGTCCATCATAGTGTAGCATCAAGTTCAAAAATATACATTCCCATCTTACAGCTGACCATTCACCTATTAGGATCAAGAACCTACAGAGATGTAATCCCAGATTCAGACAAAGTGGCAGCTTTTGTCCACTCACCTTGGCTGAGGGGCTGGCCTGAGACCCACATCAGGTCGCTCCTAGCTAAGAGGAAGCCCATGGGAATATTCCAGCCCGAAGTCCACCTAGCTCCATTATGACAACTTCGGACTCCTTTGAGCCTTTGGACATCCAGCGTTCCACGCTTGGCTACAGCCACTGCAAACACACAGCTACCTAAGATGGAGAAAGTTAAGAGTGGAAACAACATTCACTGGTAGAGAACAAAACTGCCTGTGGTGAGGAAACTTTTGCATACTCTGGATTGATAAGGAATCTAACCAGCATTTTGAAACATTCTGTTCTGCAGGAATTTATTTTCTTAGTTTAAATTCAATCTGAAAGAAGTTATTTTAAGTCATGTGGATGCACCTGGGATCCAACTCCAGCAGAATGACTAATGCCATGGCTTTTGTCCAATGAATTTTGTGAACAATATTTGGTGAAAGTGTAAATAAAGTAATAAATCTTGGCCTTACTGAAATAGTTCTTTACTTACAATGGATGGAGGGGTCTAAATAACACTACTCCTCACGTTAGCTCCAGAGGCCAAATGTTTATAACACTCTTTATACAAGAGTCTCTCTTTCCCAGTTCTTGAAAATAAAGCCCCAGTACAGTTCTGCTCAATTACCTTCTTACTTTTCATATGCATTCGCAGAGAATCATAGCCTCCATATTTTCTGGGATGAGAGGAAAAACCCTCTATGGAATTCTAAGCACAGATGATGGTGTGGCCAAGACCAATGGACCTTCGAGAAGGCCAGTCCTATAGAACCTCTCTGGATAAAGAGAGGAGAAGTGATTGCTCCTTGTGCTCCAGAGGCTGCTTCTCACGAAGAGACCACAAGACAGCAGTCATGGATTTGAGTGGCAGTAGATGGGGGAAGCCATTAAGCTCTCAACCGCATCGTAGCATATGTGGATACAAGGTTCATCAAGCTGCATGTTCTAAGCACTTTTGGAATATAATTGTTTTAAAGTTAAAAGAGGTCTTCCCAGCCACAAGTTTGAAAAACTCTGTGGTGAGTGATCCTTTATTCCAGAAAGCAGGGAAAAATTAATAATTTAAGTACATGGCAAAAATCTAGGTAAGAATTTAGTCCAAGAAAGTTTGGGACCAAATAAATTTGAAATATTATAACTTTTGCCTCAAGACTTTAAAAGTATTTAAAAACAAAATAATATGTTTGTGGGAAGAGAAGTTGTTTAACGTTTCAGGAAAGAGATGATAGACGGAAGCAAAAGAAATTTGAGATGCTATTACAGAAATGACCCCAAGCAGAGGCCAAAACGAAAGAAAAGCCTGCTTTTAAATTGGGTGGTTAGCATAAAATGATAAAGGTATTACACTGGAGACATTCAAATTAGTTTTAAAGAAATGTGAAAGAAGCTCGCAGCTATAATGGCAACAACAATACCAGTATTTGCAAATGCATTAATTTTAAAAAATATTTAATAAAGAAATGAAAAATGCAAAGCAGAATAATTTTGAAGGATTTACAGACCAACAGGATAGAGATAAAAGAAATTCAAACCCATGCAGAGAAAAAAGTAAAATAAAATAGAAGTTGTGGGCTCTAATCCAGAGATGAAAACTGAAATGGAAATACAGGTGATAAGCTGAAAGATGAAAAACGACCTGACTTATTATTGGATTTACAAATGAGAGTTGTTAAAGTTGTCAAGCAACTCCAATATTAAAGTGTTCATCCCAAATGATATAGCTAAATATCAGTGGAGATTCTCATCATCCAGGGCATGACTGTCCCAAAGGTGCTTTTAAAAATGCAACTGGACTCTCTTTATTTTTTCTTTGAAAACGTTTCGCAAAAGTTACATTTTTGAAAAGCATCTTTGGGATCACAAGTAAGGAAAGAAAATTTGGATAGAGATCAAATCCTATGACAGCTTCTTAATGAAATAAAGATTAAGATTCTTAAGAGCAAAAGAAAAGACTATAAAGTCAACCTGTCTCATGAGGGATAAAATAACAAATATTTTTATAAAGTTCGGAGTACCCTTTAGGGACTTTTTGCTGCTCCTGGATGGAATCGTTTAATGATTTGTGGATAGTTAGTGCTTGGGAGTTGGGAAAAAGTGATTCATGTCATAGAATTATTAATGGTGGTCAAGAAATGCGAAGTTGGCTTGTTACAAAGAAGATCGGAAGCAATTTCTGTAAACATTCTTTTTTTTTTGCCCTCTTTTTCTTTCTGTACTTTTCATTTTTTAATGTCAATTGGTCTTATCTATTGCTCTCGTTAACATTTCTAATCCTTTTTTGAAAAAGGAATAGCCCTGGGTATAGTGCCCAGGTCTAAATCTCACTGGCATCAGTGAGCTTTCCTGGTAAGGAGACCTGCCAGAGTGGGGCAGGTGGCCCAAGGCAACTTTCTGTAGTGGCGCAGTGGTTAGAATGCAGTACTGCAGGCTACTTCTGCTGGCTGCAGTCCAGCAGTTCAATTCTCACTGGCTCAAGGTTGACTCAGCCTTCCATCCTTCTAAGGTCAATACACTGAGGACCCAGATTGTTGGGGGCAATAGCTGACTCTGTAAACCACTTGGAGAGGGCTGTAAAAACACTGTAAAGCGGTATAGAAGTCCAAGGACTATTGCTATTGCAGGCAAACTCTGCCCACTGCCAGGAGTTCAATTCTCACCAGGCTCAAGGTTTTGACTCAGCCTTCCCTCCTTCCAAGGTGGGTAAAATGAGGACCCAGATTGTTGGGGGAAAGAGGCTAGCTCTGTAAACCGCTTAGAGTGGGCTGTAAAAGCGCTGTGAAGTGGTATATAAGTCTAAGGGCTATGGCTATTGCTATTTCCTATGTGGCTTCTTTTCTGAAGAAATTTTGCAGCCTGATCTTTTCCTCCAGCACCCGGCCTGGCCAGAACCTCCCACTCACAGTGGCCTTTTGTCCTAGAAATCCCTCCTCTGTCAACAGCCTTGGACAAGGAAACTCCCTGACTTTCTCCGGGCCCTGGTCATAGACTCTGAGACATCTTGAAATGGCCATACTGGATGACTTCTGCTTGCTGTGGATGAGACGATCTGCAAACTACCACACCCCTGTGCCCTGCCCTATGAACTCTATGACTGTGTGACAGAATGCAGTCAATGTTGCACACTTCTTGGCAAGCACCACCCAAACTAGGCTTTTGTACATTTTACATTTTATGTTCTTAAGTTTGTACACACACAAAATCTTAGTAACGCTGGACTTCCGGTTTGAGCTTCTTCGGCGACAGACAAAAATCCACGATCGTGTGCGGTTTCGGTCTGGGCTTGCCGCTGGAGCGCCCCAAGCCGGCTGGTTTTGGGGCTAAGCCACCCTGTAGAGGTGGTGAAGAAGGGGGAGACTGCCAGCAGGGTTGAGGAGAGCCGCATCTCTCCTCCTCAGCTGGTCAAACTCCCTTTCCCGAAGGCGGTTGCAGCGGATGGAACTAATGGAACTTAAAAAGTACAAAGAAGATGCACAAGAAGGGAGGGATTCTTTTGGCTTCGTTTTTCAATTCTTAGAAATGGAGATTTGGAACTATGAGAAACAACAAGAAACGTCTGCAAAACAAGAAGACTGGGACAAAGAAGAAGCCATTTTTAATGAACAAGTAATTCTATGTGGGGAAGAAAAAGGAAAGGGGGGAAAGAGAATGGAGAATTTAAGACTTAAAAAAACAACCAAAGAAAAGAAAAATAGTTCGAAAAATAAGTGTAATATTGGAAAGCAACAGAAGAGGGGAATAGATAAGAGAGAAATAGAGGTAGAGAGACAAAGGGGTAAAAAGGGGAGAGAGAAGAAGAGAGGGAAGAAGGAAAGGAAAAGAAGTTACAAAGGACAGAAACAAGATATAGAGAAATAGGGCCTATTTAGAGATAATGGGTGAAAATTTAACTGAAAAAGGGATTCTGTAAAGGTACATAAGATTGTATTGTTATATTAGTAATAGAAATAATTTTAGAAAATTGGAAACAATGTATGATTAAAATGAGGGATAAAATAGTTACTGTAATCTAGTGAAATGTTTGTTAATAAAATAAATGAAATAAAATAAATGAGAAAATTGAATTAGGAAGGGACAGGAACATTTTAATTAGTTAATGTTTTATAAAATATAAGTGAAGAGGAGGGGGAAATTAATTATGGAAAGCTTATAACTGTTCCCATAGAAGTATGATATTTAATTGAAAAGTAATGTTAAAGAAGTTAAGATTTTAATGAATATTAACATTAATGATAGAATTGAATTGGAATGGAATATGTTGTTTTAATTACATATATTTATAATCTTTTTTTTCAAGAATATAGTGTGTATTTTAAGAATGTACCAAGCAGAAACCGAATGGAAGTTATGTATTATATTGAATGTTATAACTTTAAGGTATATATTGAAGCCTAAATAAGAGTTAAATGGATAAACTTAAAAGATATAAAGGTGTCATACTCCAATCAACAACTACAGGAGAAACTTTGTTTAATGAGAAAAGATAACATAAAATTGAAACAGGACAGACAAAAAGTATAAATATAATGATTTGAATTGAGATGAGATAATTAAAATAAAACTGAGAAAATTAAAAGAGGGGAGAAGCTATGTAGAAAATGTAAAACAGTAATAAGATATGGAATAGAACATAAAAATGAGCATGAAATTGAATTTGTGTCTGTACGAAGAAATGTAACCTGGGATTACGCTACTTTCAAAAAAGATGTTTTATTTGTATTTTTTTGTGAAAACTCAAATCAAATTTACCAAAAAAAATAAAAATAAAATCTTAGTAATGCTGCTTCTGATATGAATAAAGAAGACTGGCTCTGACCTCCCCGATAGATCTCCTTGGCCGCCACAGTCAAGCCATAAAGCTTTACGGCAGAGTATGCGTCTCCGGCATCCAAGGACACGGCATCAGCTTTATTCTCCTGGGAGAGATTTAAAGCAACGTTTTCAGTTTCTTCTCTTCGGGTCCACCTGGCATCGTGCTTCTAATGACGGAAGAATATCATCTGCACGATGCAATCGTTCAGTGTTCCTCAACCTTGGCAGTGTGGACTTCAACTCCCAGAATTCCCCAACCATCCAGGCAGTGGATGTCTTGTGCTTGTTGACCAGGGGATGCAGTGAATAACGGCTGTCCTCGGGGCTGCTTAGCACCAGGAATCCAGAAGAAACCCACAAGGCGCTTCAGTTTTTTAAGGTGCTCAGTGCTGATTTTTTTTTTTGTTATCTGAGAATAACATCTCAGATAACTATTTATAGCAATGGTTAATTAGTGGCCAACAATATCTGGACACTAATCCTTTACAAATGAAGCAGGGACACTAATAGAATAACAGGTAATATGATCACTCCACTTCACCATTATGGGGTGCTGAGTTTACTCCTAGGTTATGTAAATGAAGATACAATTATCCAGGCCAAAAACACCTAAACTGGTTAAATCATGGGCTGTTGGTCTGGTTAAATCATGGCAACTGGACTAAAGTTTATTAAACTAAGACGTTTCATTACTCATCCAAGTAACTTCTTCAGTCCCAGTGAAAAATTTAAGTTAGGCAGAGAGTCAGAGAGTCGTTGGAATGCACCAACTTTTGCCATAACAACTGCAGAAGTTTCATCCCAAACTGTATTGCAAAAATTAAAATGTTTAATAAACTTTGGTCCAACTGCCCTGATTTAACCTTTTTAGAAGCACCTAGGTTAGTTAGCTGAGGTTCTTGGAAGATGTTATGCTCAAATAACAAAAAAATCAGCCTTAAGCACCTTAAAAGAACGCAGCGCTTGTGCTTCTTGTCTGGATTCCTGGTGCTAACAGCCCTGAGGGAAAGCCCGGAGCGGAAAGACAGTCATACTTCACTGCATCCCAGGGTCACAAGGCACAAGACATCCACCCTGTCATCCCAGGGTAATGAAAGATGCTATCATGATTAAATAACATGTTCAAAAGGGTGGCATCTCCAACTAAATGAGTTACACCTCAGAGTACCTGTGTCATCTGCTTAGCAATTCAGCTCAGAGATGATCTGACAAAGTTGTTTTTCCAGAGAAGTAAATAGTAATTTGTACTGTTTATTTATTTACAAAGGCAAAAATTCTCCTTACTGCTCTTGGGAGCAATTCTTCTTTTCAAAAGTTTAATTTTGAAATTATTCTGCCAGTAACCTCCCTCCCCCCAAAACAACAACAACAACCGCCTGTGTGATCAGCACATCAGCAGAGCACTCATTCTGCCCCTTCATCCAAAGGTTCAATGAAACTTGTGAAGAGTAAAGGACTTGGTCTCATCCCAGTAGAAAGAGTCTTTCTAAAGCGATGAGGATCTGTTCTAGAATGATTTCCACACCATTTTCGTATCCCCTTTAATTGTTCTCCTAGCCAGTTGAGGCTTAAATAGTTCACCATTTTAAGCTAACCAGAGCACTTGCACAAAGAGAAAGATGGGGTGTAAATGTAATGTAAATTCCAAAATTAAAAACCGATCAGAATGTCTTGAGCTGTACAGATGGTCTCCGTGGCCAAGAGGACCTAGACCAGGGTTGGGTTCCCTGCCTGGACAGAGGCATCCAGGGCTTCCCCCGGGAGGTTTAACCCAGGAATATAGGCTTCTCAGGAGCGATGCCCCAATTGCAGTCTGGAGCTCTGCCGTGTCCACTGGGCACCACAAGCTGAACTGGGTGAATTTTGAGACACTCACCCGAATCTTGTTGATACAGTCATAGGTGCTGTGGGCTAGGATGCAAGAAACCCTCTTAAAAGGACTGCTGGGGACAGGCGACAAAGCAGACAGAAGTGCTTTGGAGAGCTCAGAGCATTTCTTCTGCTCCAGGGGGGAAAGCGTGCACCAGCGGAGCTTCTTCCCTGCAAGCACATAGAAGGTTAAACAACACAGCCTTTGCAAGCTAAATAGCTTCTAGCAAGGGTCCCCAAACCTGGCAACTTTAAGCCTTGTGGACTTCAATTCCCAGCAGAACTGGCTGGAGAATTCTGGAAGTTGAAGTCCACAAGTCTTAAAAGTTTCCAAGTTTGGAGACCTCTGGCTTATAGCAACAGACCCACCCAGGTCATCTCCAAATGACCAACACAGGGTCATGTCTATTTAAGTGTGCTGCACCTTCTTAGCCCTATCCACTTTGACCTGGGGAACCTACAAGTGTGGTTAGCCCCCTTTGGAAGTCAATGGATCCTTTTCATTCAAAGTCTACCTGTGAGACAACATGTTCTTCATACTACACTCCAACTGTACAAAGTCTAAAATCATCTACTCAAGAAAAAGGCCCACTTATGTTTATGCTCTGGGTTATGCAATCACACTCGAGATCATACTTCTTCCATACCCGTTCCTCCACTCTCGCCACATTCCTGGCTTAAGTCTTCACGAGTCAGAAACACAGGGTGCCTAACATGCTAGCCAAGAGGTAAATAGCAGAATAGCTAAGATCCAACTCTATGTCCCTGGAACAATAATAGGACATAGAATAATAGGGCTTGGAAGTCTTCTTGTCATTGGACTGTGGCAGGAGGTTCTACACCATTCCTGATTTTATTTGGGCTTGATAGGACGGATATATGTGATCACAGAAAGAATAGAAGAATAATAGACTTGGAAGGACACTGGAGGCCCCACAGTCCAACCCTCCACCTAGCAGGAGACCCCATACCATTTCAGACAAATGGCTGTCCGGTCTCTTCTTAAGGCTCCAGTGATAGAGCACCCATAACTTCTGGGCTGGATTTTGCCCATTCCATGAGATCCCCTTGACAGACAATTATCAACCAGAGCTCCAGATGTTTGAACTAGATAAGCCCCCCTTTTTTCTGTCACATTCTGAACATTCTGTCTAATGTTCAAAAATTAGATAGTGTGATCAGGGGGAGCATAAGCAAAAAAAACTAGATAACCCCCCTTTTTTCTGTCACCCCTACCTGCGGCTAGATGAGCAACAGCAAGGAAGGCCAAGAGAACAGCCACAAGAAACAACTTCATGACGGCAGAGGCACAAGTCATCTTCCCCTTCCCTCATTCCAGAGATTCCAAAGCAGTGACAGGAATTTGGGCGGGGGTGGGGGGGGGAGGGAGATTGAAAAACTCAGGGTGCAGGAGCTGAAAGTGAAAGCGATGGGGTGGTGGGCAGGAAAGGAGGCCAATCCTTGAGTGCTCCTGGGAAACTTTACAATGCAGCCAGGCAAAATAAAAGGATTGCAAACCTTTTGCTTTTCTCTTCCAACTCTTCTGCAGTGCTTAAAAATCATGCTCTACATTTAAAGGAAGACACTGCCCTGGATTCGATTTAGACTAGCCTGGTGAGGCATCCCACACATCAACATGTTGGCTAGTGAAGACATTCACGGTGGTGAAGAATCGGGACTCCAATAGCTTCTTTTTCAACGATGATGTGTAGATCTGTATCTTCTATTTACCGGTATTACCGTATTAACCTTGACTGATTATGAGTCACCAAATTGTTATCAACTCCTTAGCAATCAGTTAGATTTTCAATAGGAGGACTTAGGTGACCTCATGGGCACTGTAACCAAGCCCATCCTCCTTGCTACCAGTTGTCTTCTGCTTTTCTTTCTTTTCGCCTTTCCCAAAGAGCTGGGTCTTCACATAAGACCTTCGTAAACTGCTTTATGGCATCTTTTGACTATTGGTTCATTGTCTGTTGACGGTGGACTCTAAAATTTGGCAGAAGCTCTCCACCAAGATCTCCCTGGACAGCTCCAAGCGTCAATACAAAGTTACCATCCCAACTCTGGACCACCACAGACAATGATGCTCTGCCCAAATGGCCACCACCAAGATTTTGGCCAACTAGGGACTGCAGAGGCACTCAATGAGGGCATCTTCTCCAGCGGTGGCCACAGCTTCTCCGGCCAACAGAGAGATCTTCCTTTTATTCCCTTTCCAACAGCAACAAGTCCTGAAGTCCTTGAGTAATTTATAATAATAGAAGATGGGATATACATGCATAAAATAATAAGCAATGAATTGGGTTCCGCCAGCATCCCATCTGCAAGTGGATCTCTTATGAAAAAACACTAATATATATATATATTTAGTCCTTTTTCTTTTTAGTGCTATATGTGGGCATATGCATCATCTTTTATTTATTTATTATTCAATCATGATTGGAGGTGGTCACCCTTGGAGAAGCTGTATGCAACGAAATTTCAATTTAATGTATGCCAATTAATGTCCATTCAAAGTGACAATAAAGTTAGCCTAAGTAAGTTTAATTTCTTTTAAAACAATCCTAAGTGGCGGCGACATGGTGATCCATCAGCAGAGGCCCTCGCGTATCTGTGAGACGGTTATTTATAACTGTGTCCTACATAATTGTACCTCATATGTGTGTATACATGTATAGGCATAGCCACATAAAATAATATTCTGCCTTTACAGCGACGGGCAGGAACAGGCCACTTCCACGCCGCGGCCCTTCAGCGGGGAGGATGGGCCTTCCACCCCGCAGCCCTTCAGGCGGGGGAGGATGGGCCTTGTGATCCGGCGGAGGGGGGCGTGGCTCCAGCCGCGGCGGCCCTCTCCGGAGCGGCCTACCTCACGGGGCGGGCGTGAGGAGGAGAAGGACGGAGCGCAGGCTCGCAGCCTCAGGCTCGCACTGTCGTAGTGGTCGGTGGCGGCGCGGGAGGACGCGGCAAGATGGCGGCGGCGGCGGCGGCGGCGAGGGTGGCCCAGCGGGTGGCCGGCAGCAGGTACCGGGGGGCTGTTCGGGGCGGAGGGGGGCTCGGCGTGAGGAAGCCCCGCTCCCCGCGGAGCTCCGGCCGCCCGTCGTGGGAAGCCGGCCTTGGGGTGGGGAAAACGGAGCCGGGGTCTCGGGCTCCTCCGAGGACGCGTCGGGCCACCGGAGAGGCTAACCTCCCCCTCCTGGCCCCGGGAAAGACCCGCGTTTGGCCCTCGGAGACCCAGGGCCGCGTGTGACGGCGGGTTCTCGTTCCGGTGGGGGACTCGTTAGAACCCTCCACCCCAGGCCCTCCGACCCCTGACGGGGCCCTGCCTTTGGAGCTCCCCGTCAGGACCGACAGGCACGCGAGGGTCCTGGCGGAGAGGAGCGGCGGCCTCGCTTCCTTCCCGGCTCGGGCTGGGGGGAACCGTACAGGGGATATTGGGAAGCCGCCTCCTTCAACCTTGGCTAGGTCCACTCGGGTGGACTTCAACTCCCAGGATTCTCTTGCCAGCAGAACTCGTCAGGACAGCCCGCTGAAGGATTCTGGGAGTTGAAGTCCACCCGCCTGAAAATAGCCCAGGATTTTCAACAGATCGATCCAGTTAGCCTTAAAAGAATGAACGCTGAACACAGCTCGGTTCTTCTTTATAGCGAGTGGCAGGGATGTCAAAAGAGGGCAGGGGCTTGATTGTGTAATGGGGGCTCCCCTCTCTTCTGCAGGGTGCACCTGGCCAAGGTGCCCCTTTATGCAAATGAAGCTTTTATCAGCAGCTCTTGCCTGCTGGTGAAGTTACCTTGAGACTTGGCAAATGGTTCCCTGATTGATCTGTTTCTTTAATCTTTGCAACTCCTGCTTTTCTGGCTTGTGGCAAAGGGAGGATTGAAAACAAGGCTGGTATTTTGCTGTGCCAAGGATGCACGTCCTAGAAGCCTCTTTTTAATCAAATGTCTGGCCTGCTTGACCCCATACTAGGTGCTGGTTAGTTGCCAAATGTGACTCAATTTCTCTGAATGAGATCAAATTCTGTTTTGTTTTTGGTGCCTTCAAGTCAGTGTTGACTTCTGGCCTCTGCCTGAGCTATTGCAATTCCAGTGGTTTTCTTGGCAAGTTTTCAGAAATGATTTTGCCATTGCCTCCTTCCTGTGGCTGAGAGTGAGTGCCTGGCTCAAGATTACCCAGTTGGCTATCTTGCCTAAGGAAGGACTAGAAACTGATGGTCCCCCTGTTGCAAGATTGGTGCCTCGATCGCTAGGTTAACCTGGCTTTAGACCAATTTCTTACTTATTTTGTGTTATATACACTGTAGGTATCCTTGAGGGCAGCTGATTTTTTTAAAACATTAAAAACCTTTAAAATCAATATTTAAATCAAAAGTCTTCAAAAGAAACGAGTTTTTGTAATGTTCCAATCTAAACATTGGGGTTGGGATAGAGGCAAAGGGAGCTTGTCAGACAACAAAGCAGCAAAATATTCTCTTCCCGAGAATATCTCTCGCTTCTGGGAGGGTTGTGGATCTTCAAAGCAGCATCTCCTGTAGGTTTTCCCGGCAGTTAAATCAGGCTTGAAACAATCAGTGTTGGCACTTTAAGGGGTACCCGGAAAGTAATTGGCAAATGGGGCAGATCTTTTTGGATGGGCATCATACAAGCCACATATCTGCTTCATTGGCATCAGCCACCCTTTCTGGATTCTCTTTAAAGACAGTCCCACGTAGAGCGCATTGGATTGTGAATAATGTCTGTTTGCCAAATACAAGTGGTTCAGCCATGGTCACAGTTGACACCGGAGATGTAATTGTGCAAGTCTTCTGCTGCAACTAAATTCAGCAAAAGTCGAAGGACAAGGAGTGTTCATTTGGGAAGAAGCTGTATTGTTTGGGTAGAACACAGTCTCACCTTAAATAAAGTTAATGAAATACTGCCTCCGAGTCTAGTTTTTTGCTGACCAGAAAAACCTCAGTCAATTCAATTTAAATGCAATTAAACTTAATTGCAGTTGTTCTTCCTTTAGTCACCCATTTCCCCAAAAATAGATGTCTTCAAGGATACTGACCACTTGAGTAGTGCGATACTCAAGAATCTGATTGCAGTTTGGGTACTGTTGGAATTTCATGGCAGAGCTCCAGATTATATCCACTACTAGTTTCACCTGGTTTGCTAAATAGCATGGAAGAGCTGTTTAACATGTCAGATATAAAAAAGCCAGCGAGAAACCCAGGAGAACTAAGTTGGACTTTTCATCCCTGATTCAGAGTCTGATACAGGCCAGGCATAAAGATGATGTTATCATATTACATCCAGTGACATGGTAAAAATTCTGAAGAGAGAATTTGAAAGAAATTTGGACTGGTAGGAAAAAATATTGTGTACAAGTTAGGAATAGTCTGAATTAGAGGAGTTGGTGTGTGAATCAGCTTTGAACTTCAATGCTCTGAGTTGTGATTGTAGTGGTAGAACAGTCTCTTGTACAAAGCTACCTGGAAATCTTGTGCCTCTAAACGTTTTCCTTTTGATGTATTCATATGGCTAAGTCAAAATATCTGCCACAAATGAGCGGATGCAGGTTGATCAAGCCCCTGCCACAATCACTCATATCTCTTCAGCCAAAATCTTAGGCTTCTGGAATATGAACCAGGTTTATAGACTTTTTGTAGGCTTTAGGTTTGGAAGACATGGGCAGCCCAAGACTTTGGTTGAAGGGACACCTGTGATACATGAGAAGAGGGTATTTATTGACTTGCCTTCGTTGTTTTGAGTGTGAGAGAAAGGGCTGAAGTATCAATAAAGGATGTCACAAAAGGTGCTTTCACAAGAGGCAGTTGGACTTTCTGGTTTTTCTTTGAAGCTGTTTCACTTCTTCAGCTGGATGATGGGAAATGGAAGGATTTATACTCCTTGCAGACAGCTGGATGTTTGCATTCCTTTAGCTAGTCATTAAGGTCACCAGGAGGTTTACCTGTACGTCATGGTCACCTGAGTGGCCAACAAATGGGTGTGGCGTCGCCTTGTAACTGCTGAAAGGACTGAGTTGTAGACTGGAGACAGGTGACGTCCTATCCCTCCCCCTCTGTTGAGGGAGGGGCTGTTCAATTTGGGCAGTTGGCCTCTTTGACCCCTCTTTCACACCAGTGGTCCTCTCTGTCCAAAATGGGGACTTTGCTGTCTTCCTATCCTTCCATTCCCCACTATCCTGTCAGAGCTGGAGAAGCTTCTTGGATGAGAAGTCAAACATCTTTGAAAAAAAACCCCAAAATCCAATTGCCTCTTGAAAATGTACCTTTGGGACAACCATGGCCTGGGTGACTGAGAATCTCCATAGATACAAAATATTTTTAT